GCTTTAAATAAAGCACCAATAATAATTTATAAAGCTTATAAATTATTATAATTCCTTTAATATTTTAAGTAGCTTTTAATTTAAAATTACTTATACTTTATTAAGGTTTATTATAATACTTTTTATAAAAATAATAAGGCCTAAATACTTTATTTTAATAATATTAAATTTATATTTTATAATATTAATAATTAATTTAACTTTAATAAGTCTATTTAATATTTTATAAATATATTACTTATACTTTACTTTTAAATTATTATAGATTAAAATATTATTTAAATATACTATAATATATTTATTAAGGATATTAAATAAAACATTATTAATATAATATTAAAATAAGCTTAATATATTTATTATATTAAAGTTAGCTATTAAATATTTAAATAAGTTAAACTTAATAATAAAAGTAATTTTCTATTTATCCTTAAGGATAATTTAAAAGTAATTAAAAGCTATTATAATATTTATTTTAATATAAATTTTAATATAGTATAATATATTTAACATTTTATAAATTAATAAAATAGGGTATTAATTTTTAACTATTATATTATTTAATTTTTAATAATTTATATATACTTTTATTTTCCCTTTTAGCTTTTAAATAAGGAAGATAAATATTATTATTAATAATATATTAACTTATATAAACCCTTTTATTAAATAATTATTTAAATATTTTTAAATTATTAAAAGTTTTAAAGGGGATATTAATTTTATTATTATATTAAATAATAACTTTCCTAATATTATATTTATTTTATAATTAAATGGTTAATATAATAGTAATTAATTTATATTTTAAAGTAAAAAAGCTTTAATTAAATTATAATATTTTTTTAATAGTTTAATAAAGATATTTTCCTTTATAAAGGATTTTTTATTATTTTTTAAGTATTTAAAAATATCCTAATTTATTACCTATTATAGCTATAGTATTTCGTTAATTTATTATTAATAAGCTTAAAGGTAATTTAATAATGCTTTATTATTTTTATTTATTTCCTTTATTAAAATGCTTTATAATATTTTAATAAAGGTATTTAATATAATATTTTTAATTAAGCAGTTATTTTTTATTTCTACCCCTTATTATTCTACTTTTTTAAATAAATTAGTTAATATATAAAACTTTATTATAGGTATAAATTAAATTATAATATTCTTTATTTTATATAAAAGTAAAAAGTTTAATATTATAAGAATTTATATTTTTATTTAATTATTTTTTTAATAGGTTTTTATTATTAATATAATAATTATTTATAATATAGGTTTTAATTATAAGTTTTCCTTAAATTAATTTATAAGCTTAAATGCATTTTTTTATTATAATAGTAATATTTTATTATATTTTTTTTTTATATTTTTATTTTATATATTTTTAATATATTTAATTATTAATTAATCTATAGGTTATAATATTAAAGCTATAATAATTTTAAAATAATATTTAACTTATTTAATAGCTATATATATAATATTAAGGTTTTTATAAAGTTTTTTAATATATATTATATTATATATTATTTAAAAATTATTTCCGCTTTAATATTATTTATAAAGTATAATACTTTTAACTATATTATAGTTATAATTAATATTTTATAAGTTTATATATATTTTATATTTATAAAGCTTTATAATAAATATTTTAAATTAATAAAGGTTTAATATTTAATTATTATTTTATTATATAATTTAATTAAAGTATTAAAATAAAGGAATATATTAAAGTTTATTAATTTAATATATAGATTTATTTATTTATTTTTAGTTTTTTCTTTATTATACTTTTAATTATAACTTTTATTAAGGGTTATATATTTTTTACTTTATTCCTATTTAGGTATTTAAGTAATAACGTTTATTTATAATTCTATTTTACCTTTATTATTAATAGGTAGGATAGAATAAAATGTTTTATACTTTTATAATATAGGTATAGCTTTAATAATTATTTCCTTATCTTTTTTTTATTTATTAAGGGTAATTTAAACTACTTAATATAAATTTTATTTAATTATATTAGGTTACTTATATTTTATTTAACTAATATTATTAGGATATATATTAAATAGTTTATTTATATTAAATAAAAGGGGTATTTCTTTTAAAATTTAAGGTTTATTAAATTATTAAAAAGGTTATATAATAATTATATCTATCCTATTATATTATTCCCCTTTAATTAATTTATTTATAAAATAAAAGCTTTTTATAATTTAATATTAATTTTAACTTTTAACCCTTTTATTTATTATTTATTTAATTATTTACTTTTCTTTATTAATTTAATAAATTTAAAAATAAAGTTAATATAAAGTAAATCTTTTTATTTTAAGCTTTTAAATTTTTATATTACTTTTATATATATATTAATAATAATATATAAATTATTTAACGTTTTAAATAGGTTATTATATATTATTTATACTTATTTTTTAAGTTTTCTTTAATTATTTATTACTTTTTTAACCTATTATTAAATTTAAATATATATAGCTTTAAATAGTTTAAAGTATATATATATAATTCTATTAAATTTATTAAAAAATACCCTTTAATTTAATATTAACTTTAATTATATCTTTAATTATTAAATTATATATTTAACTTATTATTTATTTAAATTTAGTTTTAACTTATTAAATATTAAAGGTTTCCCTTTTTAATTTTTCCTATATTTAATAATATATTATTAATAATTTAATATTAATATTATAATATTAAGTTTTTATATAATAGGTAAATTTAATATAATTTTTAAATTTATTTAAGGAATTAATAATAAAGGGAAAGGGTTTAATAGGGTTAAAAGGGTTATAATTAATATTAAAGTTTAAATTATTATTAATTAAATTCCTTTAAATAGGGTTTAAAGCATTAATAAAGTAATAACTTATTAATTATTATTTATTTATACTTAAATAAATATTACTATTTATTATTATAGGTTCCTTTTAATATTTTTTATTATTTAAAGTTTATTTATTAATATAATTTTTAAAGCTAAAACTTTAATATAGGTTTACTTTATTATATTTATTTATTATTATATTAAATTTTAATATATTTTATATTTAGCATTTTTTTATTTAAGTTCTTTTATTAATATATTTACGTTTTTTTTTAAAGTAATAATTTAGGGTATTATATTTATTATATAAAATAATAACTATTAAAGGAATTATTAAAACTATTTTAAAATATTTATAAATCCTTATAATATATCCTTTAAAGTTATAGCATTTAGGTTTAAGTTTTATAAAGCTATTATAATTATTAAATAGCTATTAACGATATTAATAATTGTATACCTATATATAAGAAGTTTTATTAAGGTAGGAATATTAGGGGTTAAAGGTTTTAATTTTATAGCGTTTTAAAAGTAAGTTTAAGGTATTTATATAAACTAGTCCTTAAAGAAGGATATTACCTATTTTTTAGGTATAATAAACTATTATAGTATTACTTAATTATAGTTTTATATATTTGTTCTATTATTGTATAAGGAGGGAAGTTCTAATTTTTGCCCCTTATTCCTTTTTTTAGCGTTATATATAATGTTTCTTGGTCTATGCTGTATATCGGAAATTAGGCTTCTTTGGTTCCGTGATATAAGGTATATTCGAGAGTATAAGGTAAACTGAATACACAATATGGGTTAGTAGAACCTTGTGTGGGGAAAACCAGTTATTAGTAATCCTTAGATATTATTCGTTTAAGTACACGGAGAGAGGCGCTTAGGTACTGTGAACGAGACTGGGTAAGACTTGAAGTCAAAAGGAGGAGATACGAGAGATATCTTAGACAATATGTTCGACATATGAACCGCCGAATTACGAAAGTATTCAAAGATGTACATACCAAGAATAAAGACAATGTAGATGAGGTGTCAAAGATGCAAAGTGATCTGCCCTACCTTCATTCTCTCTGTCTACCTACTATGTTTACTGGAAGCTGGAAGTAGAAATGCAGGACTTTAGCTATTAATATCTGCCAAGGTTCCAATTTTGGCTTAAACTGGAGTGGTGCCACAAATAAGGCGTGCCAAGCTTGAGAGGTCGCATCTCGTCCAGTGCTTTTCAGATGCTAATGTCTGACGGCGGTAGGTTTACATAGTACAAGTTTCGGGGTTTGGGACCTACAGCACATTGCGTGCAAAAGCACGACACTGCCTCAACCATCTACTCTAAACATAAGTATAGCCGGTAGTGCCCGATGGTCGGACAGAGTCGATAAACTACATACATCTAACATGACCTGGCTCGCCTGGGTACTGCTTAGATTCTGACTGGGCTGCCTGCCTTGTGTATTGGAGGAGAAGCTGGGACAAGCTGGGACGATCTTATCCATCGAAGTCTTATTTAGTGCTGCTGTTAAGATGACGGTGGCGAGTCATGTAACGAAGCTAAACTAGATGTTCCCCTCACGCACGCGCTCCCTCCTGCGCTAGTGCAGCCGCGGGACTGGTGTGGCAAGGGAGACGATGATGGAACGAGGTCTGGGACGACCTGGTCTGCCTGCTAAGACTTCTGCTGCATTATCTTGGCATCCCGGGATCAATGAAATAACATAGGCTGGTAGGGAATAGATTCGGCCCAGATAGTGGATACCGCGCTACCATATACGAAACGCATCACAATAAAATCATGGCCTACTGCACCACCAGCTGACCTTGACGTGCCGGGCTCAGATCTGACAGCCTGGTTGTGGTTGAGGGACGATCGACCAGACGGAATATGGGGTTCACACGCTTCTTCAGCACATCAAAGCCACAACGGATCCCGTCGCACGATGGCGGCGACCAACCTGTCGGCGCTTCGTATCTTAACGAAAACCAGAGCCCAGCTTATCGTGACCGGCAAAGTAGCTTGAAATTGGCATGGAATGTCGAGGAGCAACCAAGCACCGAATACAAGAGTGAGACTTCAAGTTTGAACGCAAGCTTCAGCACAAGCTTGAGCGACGACCCTAATCATGTCTCCAAAATGTGGAATTCTGTTTGGCTACGGACCAGGCTACTGGCAAGCTTCGTGGTGCTCTTTGTCCTGCTCTTCGTCGTCACTATTGCCTTATACGGGGTCTCTGAGAAGTACCACGGCCTCAACGCCGAGGATATGGCGAGACAGTATGGATGGAGGTACGGACCGACAGCCTTCTTGACCGTCATTCTCAGCTTGTGGGCGCAGATCGATTACTCGAGCAAGATCTTGACGCCATGGCAGGAAATGCGTCGGGCTCCCACGGAGGCGGAGAAGAGCGTTCTTGTTGATTACATTTCTCCTCCCATGCTCATAGTCTTCTGGAGAGCAATGAAGAGGCACCATTGGGCTGTGATGGCGTCTATTCTTGGCATACTGCTGATTCAGTTAGCTGTGAGCTATGAATTTGTGTGCATACTGATCTCCGTTGCTAATTCATCTGCAGACTGTCTTCTCCACAGGTCTATTCGTACTGGAACCCACGACGCTGAGCCTAAGCAATGTTCCCATGACCGTCGGGAGTTCGTTCAATGGATCCGATTTTCGTTTGACCAACACTAGTACCAGCCTTTCCACTGGCCCGAGTATCTTGTACTATGGCTCGCGAGTCTACGGACTTGCGTCACAACCTGGTGTTGATATCTCTCGCGGCCTCGTAATGCCAGACTTTGCGCCTTCGGACCGTTCAGCCACCATCAACGGCACCAATTATACAGCCATCGTGCCAGGGGTAGAGGCAAGTCTCGACTGCGAGTATCTTCCGGGTCTAAATGGGACGAAGACCTATTTGCCATGGTGGAGCATCAATGGGGCATTCTTTGTTCTAAACATCACCACACCCTCTTGTAACATACGGAATATTATCGTCGGTCAGGGCCCGGACCACAACATGTAAGTGCCAAGCTTAGTGTGCTTTTTGTATCAGTTCATGACAACAACAAGATTCTGCGATGCAATTCACCGACAATACTAACCAGTCTCGGCTTTTCAGCTACCACCAGGAGAATGCCACACAAGCGTATATGGGCTACTTCGGTGATTACCTCTGTGACCCAAGCATTGACTACTCAGCTCCCATATTTCCAGATCCCTCAAACACGACAGTAGAACATCGCATAGTCATGACAATGGCCGATCTTCGTTTTCCTCCTCGAAACTGGCTCAGTGCTGGTGCACCGTATATTTACGTGGAGAAACTCACGGTCGCTGTGTGCAAGTCGGGTTACGCCATGGGTGACTACGAAGTAACTTACAAGGACGGCATAGACGGGCATAGCAAATCTTGGATGGCCGATAAGGTCTCGGAATCATCATCTGAGATCCCTGGTTTCTCCTCTGCTCAGCTTGGCGCGGCTGTTCATTCGTCTTTGGACGAGACGTACCTCGGCACTGGTGGGCAAGACTGGGTTCTCACAAAGCAGGTCCCGACATTCTACCAGATACTCTCGGCCATGAACGGCAATGTCAGCATTGGGCTTTTCATGGATCATGAAAAGCTGATTAGCAGCGCCACTGATGCTTTCAAAGGTATAGCGGCTGAACTCATTAACAAACACATGATGAAGCCAAGTGAGACTACCGTCAGCGGCTCGATGCTTTATTATCAAAACCGCTTGTGGGTGAGAGCTCTCTCAGTCGGGTTCATGGCGGCTGCGTTCATATTGTTAGCTGGTCTTACTATCGTTCTACTCATTTTCAGACCGATGAACGTGGTCCCCTCTGATCCTGGATCAATCGGGGCCACTGCACTCATCCTTGCGGAGAGCTCTACACTGCGGAATCTCCTGTTAGGACTGGGAGCTGCGAGGACTCGCGAGATCAAGCAGAAGCTGTCTTCCTATAACTTCCGGAGCGTCGTTACCCCTGGGCCCCAAAAGACCTTTACCGTCGTGCCAACTGAGCACGGACAGCCAACGAGTAGCAAGACTATTGAAGATGACAGCCCACCACAAAGTGAGCATTGGTGGACTCCCGTCGCTGCCAAGTTGTGGTTCCAGCTGCTTTCTATCACTTTGCCTATCATTATTATTGCCGTCCTCGAAGTCGTCCAACGACTGTCTGATGATAACAACGGCTTTGTAGACCTTGGTACTGCTGGCTTCGCTACCACACATGGGTTTGCAACTTATATTCCTGCTGTCGGTAAGTGCATTTCGAAGTCCATTCCAATCTAGATGGCCGTTTGTTCGAATATATTGGTAGTTGCTTACTTCAATCTTTTCCGTAGTGGCATTCATCGTCGCTACTATGTTTACTAGCATACAACTGGCAATCTGTACCCTCTCCCCATGGCTAGCACTGCACAGAGGTAGCGCCCCGGCTTCCAGATCTCTGTTTCTCAATCTGATCAACAGACTTGCCCCGCATCGTATCTTCTTGGCTTTCAAGCATGGCAATGTTGGCGAGGTGTTGATTATGGTAGCCACGTTCCTCGCTGCCTGGCTCCCCATTCTCGTGTCTGGTCTCTATGTCACCGTTCCCGCTACTGCGTCGCATTCCGTCAGCTTGGCACAAAGTGATGTCTTTGACTTCAAATTGAATAACCTCTTCTATGAAGACAACCTTGCAGGCACCATTGCCGGTCTCATTGCTTTCGAAGACCTAGCATATCCAGAATGGACGTACGGGGACCTCGCCTTCAATAAGCTCGACGCGACAGGCGTCCCTACGGATATATCAGCGGATACGGAAGTGCCATTCGCAGCCAAGCTGCGAGCGACAAGGCCGTCTCTCACATGTGATGTCATCTCACCAGATTCAATGGCATATAAATGGGACGACAAAGCAGATGCGCAGCAGATCACGCTCGACAGGGCGGCTCTTAATATAACATACGTTGTCCCTTGGATGTGTGAGAGTCCAAGGGGGAATATTACCAACGTGTCATGGTTCCAAGGATTCGCTCTTCCTAAAGATGGCAGCCCGATTTACTTTGGACATGCTAGTGTTCTCACTGTAAGTGAAAAATGGTCTCTACCAACAAGAGGCAACGAACTGATCTTTTATAGTGGAGTGACATCCTCCACGGGAATAGAGCTGCTATTACTGATACCAACCGCGGAATGGCGGTATCTTACGCCGATGAGGCGGTCGCTAACTGGGTGGGTGGCTACGGCTGCCCGTCATTTGCGGTGACCCTGGGGCGAGGATCGGCCATAGAGCAGATATCTCGAAAGAACAAGACCACCTACGACTTCGACATTGAAGTCACAAGCATCGTGTGTTCCCAACGCATAGAAGTCGTGGACACAAACGTAACGCTAAGACTGCCCTCGCTCGGCGTGATCTCGACGCCCCCGGTGCCCGACGAGTCCACAGCCGAATTCCTCATCAATGAGCTATCCAACTACACAGGCCCAATATTCGAGTTTCCACTCAACAATCTCTTGCTCACGCTCACCCACGGCACCGGCAACGTCTCGGCGCCGCCTCCCAGCGGCGGCACCACCAGCGACGCGAACCAGCTGGACGATTTCGTACAATTTCTCGCGACGGCGAACGCGTCACTGCCCATAGACGCTCTCGTCGGTCACGAGAACAGCCACAACTTGATCGACGCGACCAACAGACTGTACAAGACATACATGCCGCAGGCCATCGACCGGAACATGCGGACGACGGACCTCGATGCCAAGGTCGCCGCGCCCGACGCCATCGCCGCCAAAGTCGAACCCCTCCGTATGACGACGCGACCTGCGTTCCCTGGACGACTGCGCTTGAAGCAAGAAGCTGCTCCGAAATTCGCACTTCAGGCTGTGCTGGCGGTGATGGTCTTGTGCGCGATCGTCAGCAGGATATTCCTCCGGGACATCGAGAAGCTGGTCCCGCACAATCCCTGCAGCATTGCGGGCCGGGCGGCGCTGTTCGCGGACGGCGAAGTTAGCACGCGGAAGCTGGTGCCTTATGGAGCCGAGTGGCGGACAGAAGCTGAGCTCAGCCGGGTCGGTGTCTACGAAGGCTGGCTGTTTAGTCTGGGCTGGTGGGAAAGTATGGGTGTGTATAAATATGGCGTGGATATAGGCTGGATTGATCAGGGGAAGAACACTGGACATGACATAAAATAGATGGACATAAGACATATTAGCGGAGTGGATAACCGAGCCATTTTTGCAAGTCTCTTGAACTAAAATTATCAAAATAATCAAATACTATTTATTCATTTTGCCCTGTCTTTCAAAGCAAAAGAGAGCCTGAAACGATTACTTAGAGCCTTGAAGATCTTGATATGTATATCATGTTGGACTTGGTCACAAAATTGAAAATATGATAACCTGGCTAGTTTCACGCTTAAACAATGTTATCAAAGCGGTTTGATTTAAAGGCCGTGATCGTCTTATCAAGTATCACTAGATATACTCAGACTAATAGCGGACGATCTAGACGACTGACAAAATCTAGGGCCAATAAACATAACCACGCATCCTTCACCCCTATTCATTCTCCTAAACCATCACTCAGAAAGACAAGCTAACCCGGCCGTAGACTTCAGTCGGCCGACCAAACGTAACCCGGGCCGACTTCGCAGTCAAATCCATGACAATGGTGAAGAGTGTCTGGGCCGCAGATTCGCCCTCTTGCCGCCTATTGATCGAGCAGGGGTAGCCCTCGGTATCTTTGAAGAGGGCGGCTAGAGTGTCCAGATTCGGGTCCGTGACCCCCGACGCAAGCTCCCGGATCCGCGCGAGTCGCGGCCGCGAGTCCGCCAGCCAAGGCACCTCGTTGACATCGGACTTGTCTGAGAGTAAATGGTTCGTGTGACATACCCGTTTCGCCTCGTCCATGGTTACCTGTTTGACCCACTTGCTCGTACACTCGAGTCCTGTCGAGCCCGTACCGTCCGCGACGAGGATATGTCCGCTGCCAGCGGCGCCAAGACGCTCGATGGCTTCGACGGCGGCGGCACGAGAGGGGGACTCGAGGACTTTGCGCAAAGCGAAGTGGATGGGCAGCTTTGACGGGTCTACGCCGTGGCATTTGATGGCATTCAGGCAGCAGCCGACACCCGCGGCGTTGAGCCCGATCTTGCCAATGATGCCGGCCTCAGTCACCATGGAGAAGTTCGGGATGTCAGTCCCCGGTTGCGAGACGTGACATACGAGGAGGTTCGGCGTCTGTTCCACTTCCCAATCCCAGTTCTGCGCGAGGAACGAGGGCCCCGAGGCCGTCAGCCAGCCGAGGCTTGTGCAGCCGTCGCTCGGAACACTGGCGAGGCTATTATTACCAGCGGCGACGTCGGTGAAGAGCCCAAAGGTGATTTCACTGCGTATGTTGAGAGCCAATATGTCGAGGAATGTCAGCCCGGCACCTTCAGCGATGCCTCTGATCTCTTCTAGATGTCGCGGGGCAATGCGCTCGAGAGGCTCGACGTATTTTGCCGCTTCTTGCAATACCTCGGGCCATGCCAAGGAGCATGATCTCTGGAACAGTCTGGTATAGAACTCCATCGAGCCTGCGATCTTCTCCCTGGCGTAGACGCCATGTGCCACGCCTATCTTTTATTTTCTCATCGTCAGCGAGATTTCGAATGCGCGTGTTTTGTGCGAGATAATGGGATGGTGTTTGGGAACCGCTCACATCGTAGGGAGTCCCCGTGCACTTGATTTCGAGCATTCTGCGCGTATGATACGATACAATGCTTTCTGAGGGGTCTCCCTGACGGCGTAGGGAATAAAGCTAGTAAGCGTTTCTGGAAACTATTCTCGAATGCTTCTTGCAATTGTTTGCATATCCTAGACACCTACTTAGGTAGCCTTTTTTTAAATTTGGAGTGGATTCGCATTTATATAGACTCGGCAGAACCCATGATGTATCCATTCGTTGGAGTGATACCAGCGATGCCCGGATTTAAACCTGGAATAACTGAGCCGAGTAGACGGAGTAACGTTCATGGCGACATCGGTTTCATGATATGCTGCCTACACCCACGCAGATCATTCTATAGGTACACGGATTTTCTAAGCACAGACTCTGCACAGACGTTGGAGGTTCGTAGTTGGATCGACACGTGGACCTTAGTTTATCTACCTAGTAGGTATGTATACCTCCTTCATGAAGCCTAGATTCGCGCTATGCGGGTTTGTTTGGATGTTACAATCACGTATGATTGTTCTAGGCGCTGAATGAAGCCCAAGCCCGATGTGTGGACAATTCGATAGACAAATGTGTAGACAAATGTGATGGGTGTCTACAGATCCTTGGAGAACACTTGAAGAACTTGGTAGGTAACCTTGGGGAAATGGAAGCATTGAAAATGATAGCCAAGTTGGAGTGTTGTTCACGACGTCGCTTTGTTGCGTTGGAGAATATCGGCATGTCTTTGTATGGCCCTGTCTGTCTGCCTGCCCTGGAGGTCATCAGGGTCTAGCTACCTAGGTAGCCCCACCAACCCCAGACCAGGCCACTGGGACGCGGGCAAGGCGGGGCTAAAGCCCCTGTAATTATAGTACAATGGTTCCCGAATTCCTAGGAATCGAAGCTGCGTACCTAGGCATCGTCAAGTTCCTCCTACACACCTCCGAAAGTTGACATTTTGCAAACTACATATGTACCATCCAACCATACAAGCTATCAACCCCATTCTACACCTCGGCCGAATAGTATCGTCCTTTCGACTGCTCACCCTTCATCGCGCAACTTTCAACCCCTGGCACTTGGTCCCAGAACCCCAAACAAGACCAGAGCGTGTGTGCCTTGGGTATAAAACACTCCCCGGCCGACACACACGAAGAGCTACTCTCTGCCGACCAGTCTCCCGATTCGCAATGTGCACCCTACAGCCTAGCAGGTAGCACGGCTCTCGATATTCCTGTATGTGTCGAATGTGTCGATATTGCGCCCGAGACGATGCAGCCATCACGACCACAGCAGCGCCCTCCCGGTAGCTTCTCCCCTCTTGTTCCTGGCTCCATTGGCAATGCCTCCTCTTCCGACCTCGCTAGCTCTTCCACCATCTCGGCCGCTTCAAACGCTGCTGCTGCCGCCAATGCTGCTGCTACTGCTGTGCCGGTCCGGCCCATGATCCGGAAAATAGACACCTCATCTTCGACCGAAGATTCCATCTCCCTCCCCAAGACCAGAGCGCCACAGACCCCGATCAGTCTCGCAAGTCCGATTTTCCCCAATTCGCCTGGCCGGGGAAGCCCCCAGAACTTCTCGCGTCCTAATCGAGCCGCCAACGATGGTTCCAGCATAAGAAATGCCTCTCCCTTGACCCTTCCTCCTGCGCGTGCTGGCCACGCCAGGAAACATTCGCAGAGCGCTGGCTTGTTTGAACCCACCATGCCGTCTACGAGCACCTCCAACTTGCCACAAGTTGGCACGTCGCAGTCGTCCGCTACACTCGCTGCTCAAGCGGCCATGCAACACCAAAACCAACATCAGCAACATCAGCATCAGCAGCAGCAGCAGCAACAACCACAACAACAACAACAACAACACAGTCGCCATCGCTCACAGACAGTGCCGTTTCCTGGAAGTGAGACTCATCATGATCCTCCCAAGAGACCTCCGCCAAAGCCTGTCGTTGGTCCACGGAGTCCTCCCATGCTCAGCTTGACAGAAGCTAGTGCACCACGCGATGGTAGTTTCGGTAGCCAAGGCTATCATAACGGCCTTCTAGGCAGCTATGTTTCTGCTGCTACCACGGCAGCAAACGCGGCCTTTCCTAGAACTTCATCCCAGTCAACCTCGCCGGTACCACCGATCCCGGAACCCTCTATGCCGCCTCCGGAGAAGCCCGCGAAGGCCGAAAAGTCCAAGGTCAAACTATTTTCCCGTCCAAAGAAGATTGACACGAAGAGCGAGTCAAAGGAACGGCCCATACCTAGTCCTGGCAAGATTGGGTCCGCCCTTGCTTCCCTCCAGCGAGGGAACTACAGCACTACCAGCCTGGCTGATACTCAGTCCTTCTATAATATAGCTAATTCATCCTCAGCCACCATCCGCGCCACGGATTCGCCGATAGAGCGGGAAGGAAAAGAGAAAGACAAGGAAAAGAAACATCATCATTTCTTATCCCGCCAGAAGCACAAGTTGACGAGTAAAGACGAGCACAACTTACCCCTGTCTTCTGCTGCAAGCAACTCCCGCCCCGTTGATCCTAACGCGCCCTCGAGCTTGTACAACTTCAATCCACCTCCGAGTCCTGGTCCTAACAGCGCCTTAGGCAAAAGCGTTAGCGGTCTTGACTTGCGCCATGGTGGCCGGGCATTACGAGAGAAGAGGAAAGAAGAGAAACTCAGCGATATCATGCGCCATGAAAATGACTCGACGTTCGGTTTAGTAACTGAGTGGACTGGTCCTGGCAGCCTGGGAACGTCGGCGAATAATGGTTCATATGTCCATGAGCCCATAGACTCAACCAAGTACGGCTTAAACAGTATGTCTTTCGACGATGCTTGGCCGTACCTAAAAGCAAAGTTACTCGTTATCTTCGAAGGCGAGGATTTGCGTTTGCCAGTCGAGGATCTCAACCGTGTCGTCACACTGCATATCCAATACTGCATACAGCGTCGCGCAGCCCTCATCATTATCGAGGACTTGCGAGACCTGTTGACAACGGGATTTGCATCTCTCGACCACACTCTACGTAGAACCACAGAGGAACAAGTTATCCCCGCTCTCGTTGAGCTATGGGTGATTACCTTCACAAACATCCTTCCATACCTACAGGCAGTCTTCTTACCGTTGGATCTAGAATTTTCGGGAGTTGGGCCGCTCCTGACGGCTGAGCAAGCACGCGACTTCTGGGGTGGCGTAGTTGCTGGTGGCCCTCCGTCAAGCACACCAGCAGGTAGTGCTCTGCAAGTCTCGCCCGCCGCCAACGTGCTCGACGTGCGGCAGATGGTCCTTACGGCTTACCGCGACATTCTAATCTTACCGCGCTATGACAAACTGAAGGCTATCTTCTCTCGACTTTCCCTCGAGCATCTACCGTATTCTCTCGCCTCGCTTGCTCTAGCGTCGCCACCTATCCCTAGTGAAAGCTTGGCTTCCCTATCGACATCACCATCTGATGGTGGTTTCGGAGGGATACGCCCGGGCACGGCTATGTCGCTCGATCCAAGCGTAGCCAGCTACAACTCGACTACGACGACGGTCTTTGGAAACGACTCAAACCCATCGAGGAGTCGTGCGATCAGTAACGTTTCATATGGGAGCGGTGTATCGGATCCAGCGTCGGCGAGCGGCGGATCACTTCTTCGGCCCTTTACGCCACAGACACGTGAAAGCGACCGCGCACGAGAGATGCTGGGTAGTGTGCGTGAGCAGAATGTCGAGGACAGCAAGCAAGTCACTGAGATGGTCGGCCGGCTGTTACAATGCATGAGCGTCCTCGCCAGCATCGGCACGGGGATGGGAGGAAGTCAGGTGACAGGGCCTGGCGTGACGGATGAAGCCAGTAAGATGGTATCTGAGCTTGGTAGACTGTTAAAGCTGAACTGGCTGGGCAGGGGCCGAACGGGCAGGAACAGGAGAGGCATGGTCGGTGGCAGGGTCAAACGTCCAGACAACAGGTCGAATAGCAGCGTGCTGCGCGAAGGGGTGCAGGAAGGTGTCGGGGTAACAGGGTGACGAGGTGACGATGTAGGAAGAATAACGGGGCTATGATACCTACGCAGCGAGGCTCGAGATGACCATGTTTGCTGTCTGAACAAGATTATAGGATGATTGAGATCCATTACATTGTTGTGCTGTTACAATGGCTTTGTTGGGATGGATGAAGACTACTTTTACCTCAAGATACCCAGGCGGAGGGAAAACGACCTTATGTTTCCTATGAGCAGTTCTTTGCTTGACAACATGACCACCAGCTTTTCCTTGTCCTCTATCGTGGCAAGAAACCAATTGATGCAGCATGGCAGCATTGAGTGCGTGTCCTTTGTAGTAGTCAACGTTCAGAGCGCAGCGCATGAATAGGATAATCTAAAAGGGGTTTACTGGCTACATATGTAGTCTTAGATCTGCATGCAGCTCCGGCGAGAATGAGACACCTACAGCCCATACTAGTAGCGTCATCCTGTCACACAGCTCCATACTTACATCTTCACGTATTTACGCAGGTTTGCCCCGATTCCGAAACTATGCGCCCCCACTCACTCGGAATCCCGACGCTCAACTCACACTCACGGCTGAATGCTGTATAATGCCTCCGGTGGTTTCTTACCTAGAGAGAGCTCTGAAAACCATTTATCTCTCCATCTCTTCTTCCATATACGTATCAAGCATTCCTGAACACCACTCGGAAGCTACGGAGCCTATCAAGATCGGGTGAATAACCCAACAAGCAGGCAACTGGAGCCCGTTGGAATTCGTGTGTTACCTACAGTAGGCTCCACGATACAAATCAATCAATCCCTTAGCTACCCCTCCATTCATGAGTTTTGTTTCTTGAAAACAGCTTCTTTTTTCGTCCCGTGACTTGTCAAAAAACAATACGCACAGTTTCATACAATCCACAAAGCACTTCAAGTATAAAAGAAGCGAAAAAGAAAAGAAAGAAAAAGTTTGAAGTTAGAATAAGCTACAGTAATTTGTTCTTTGCGCACTGTCAGTACGACATCTATCTATCTATCTATCTATCTATCTAACCACCTAGAAGCCTGTGTCCAACCCCGCTCCTCTGCCTCTTACGCCATCTGAGCTCTCGCTATACACATTTTACATACCTGACCTACTTGTCCGTCCTATCCGCGACCAGATCCAAATCCGCTCCAAGCTCTCCTACTAACGCCTACCCAGCGAAGCTGTCTACATATCTACCTCATCCAACTTACCACGAACTCAGTGTCAAAAAGTACCTACTGTGTAGTCAGGATGTATTCTTCGTCCCAACTAACAGCAAAGCAAGTCATCGCGGCGCTGAACCTAACACCGCATCCCGAAAAGGGGTTCTACATCGAGACATTCCGGGACACCAACGGCACTTCCACTTCCACTTCCGCGGGGGATGAAACTACTCCCACTACCCGCCCCCACAGCACATGCATCTACTACCTCCTAGAAGGCGAGTCCGGGCTCTCGCACTGGCACCGCGTCCTCGACGCCGTCGAAGTCTGGCACTATTACGCCGGGGCCCCCCTCAAGCTATCCCTTGCCTGGGACGACGGCACGCCCGTACGAGATGTGGTGCTGGGCAATGACTTGGTTGGCGGTGAAAGACCCCAGGTCGTCGTGCAGAGGGGCGAGTGGCAGCATGCGAAGTCCCTAGGTGAATGGACCCTCGTGGGATGTACGGTTGCCCCTGCGTTCGTGTTTGAGAGCTTTGAGATGGCGCGGGAGGGGTGGGAGCCTAATGGGGAACAGAGGGAGGAGGAATGACTCGCGAGGAGGAAAGCGGGTTGCTTTCCCGTGGCTAGGTTGGTGGTGTCGGCTCTTGTTGAGAGAGTGAGAAATGCGCTGTCGCGGCCTGTTAGAGGGGCTGGCTAGGTGTGCGTGTTGTTTTTGCTGACGTCTACCTCTCTCTGTTTTTCATGGGGTGATTTGCTCTCTTGCGTTGTTTACATAGCGATGCCTTGTTAGCGGATTCAAGCTTGATTAGCCCATTCAAGCGAAAGCAATGTTTTATTTCACGTATTCTTTTTCCAGTGTAAAATGCATCTTGTTCGAGCTTTGGATATTGTGTGATCATTGGCAAGCGAAAAGGTATATCTTGGGGTATGACGATATTGGTCACGGAGTGCGTTGACTCATTGGCGGTCGATTCACGAATGAATAGGGAGGCGACGTAGCAGATAGATGTGGTTCGTGCAACACGTAGCAACCAGTGGGATTTTCTATTAAGGGACGCTCTTGACAAGCTTACATGATGCGAATGGTGTTATCACCGATATTTATTCTCTTCTTCTTGGGCAATGATATTCATGATTTCTTCTATTAAGCTAGGTATAATGCTGTGTTGAACTGACAAGCAATAAGGGGATATCTAAAATACAAGTATAAATGCTACTACCAGCTTCTCCAAAAAGCCAACCTACCTCTTCCGCAAGTTAAATCAATATCAGCGTCTGATTGTGGCACTAGAGACGAGCACACTCATGGCCATGTAAATCTGGAGAGGTCTAATATTAGCAATCGAGCCCAATAGACAAACGTAGGTGGTTCTCGCGTAGCAGGGGACCTCTCCATGTAATGTGATGATGTACGTAACACGCGTCGCACGAAAGGCGAACCACATGAACAATACAACAAATATGACATAACATGGGTAGTCAGACAAAGTATACTGGCAAGTAACAGGCTGTTTTGAAGGCAGCCCGAACAGTCGAAACTTCTTCATGGTCGATTCGGTTGGGAAAAGAAGACAATTTGTTGGGATGTCATCCTGAGAAGAGGTACGATCGTGGTGAATTGAAAAATAGGTGAGAGACTTACGATGTATTTATCACTTGCGGAAAGCGTAATCAGATGCTCAGCAAGTATACTGAAAGCATTCATTTGGGTGATATTGTGAGAATAGATGCTAGGGAGCTTGTTGAGTGAGAGAGGTAGACTCCTCGGAATTTATACAGGATGGGGAGAAAATCTGCAGAGGAAAACAGAGCCTCGTTGGGAAGGAAAAATTTCGGTGGGGCCAAATTTGGCGCCGGATAAATTGTGGATACATATGCAGCTGAGCAGCACCACCTGTAGATTACCTAGACTAGATAAAAGATAACGCACACGGCAGGGAAGACGCATCCACATCTTCCTGATGATAGTCGCATTGAACCGCTCTAGATAACTGGAATTCACATGCATTTATACATCTTTTTAAACAGGCGATGGTTTTATTGAAATATAAAGGCAATTATAGAGAGCCCGAGTATGTATAGAGCCAGGGTGGTCTAGGCCCCGAGACCTTTGAAGGCCTCGCAACTATACAAGCGTACAAGCTGAACATGCGGTTCGCCTTGCGCTTCGGCCGTACGAAAAGGCCACTGCAGGCTGTTCATGATCTTCAAAGACATGCAGGCAATATTGGAAAGTAAGGTTATACGGACTTTGCTTTATGAAACAAGCCGACTAGACCTAGGTAGTCAGGGCTGGGAAGCCAATTGTATATGGAGTCGAATAGGCCAAGAAAGAATTGCTTGGTTGAGGACTCATACAGCATTGGTTGATCATTATATTGTGAATAGCATCAGGTTCCAAGCCCAGATCTCTACCCTTGTTATATTGTTAGTTGTATTATATCTAAGTATTCTAGAGTCTCGGAATAACTCGGTAAGAAATCAGGGAGAGTGTTGTCACCGTTTTCTCACTTTCTCACCAAAGCACAATGACCATGGAGCTCATATAGAAGGTCCTCGAATGAGTGTAAACTCAAAATATCTGCCAGTTGCCTTTCAACGCGATATGTTCGTTGCAGTCTTCATAGGCCTTCTTTGGATGGCACATTATAGCACACGAGATAGAAGCTGCAAATGGCATGTGTCTAGCATGGCATCCATGTTAGGTATATTAACCGTTAAGGCGTATTGGCTGTTAGTGAAGGTATGTTGGTTGCGGAAGCTGTTCTAGTATTTCACCCTGCGCCCATCGGCTCTGCGATCTGTTGGATCGGTCCCTTGATGAATTCAACGCCGATTTTCGAGCCTCGCCGGGACGGATCGAAGTTGCCTACCTAGTGATACTATTGGTGTGTGGACGGGAACACAGGGTGTGCCAAGCCAGATTTTCCTTGTTGGTGGTATCTACAGAGTATGATTAGTGGCTATCCGATACAGTAGTAAGATAATCTTTACCATACCTTCCCAACTCCTACCTATCTACCTCTTATATGTATCATGGGCGTCATGAGCGAAGAGTTAGGGGTAGGTGTTGGGCCATTCGAAACCTGGCCGCATAATGTGCCACCAAAGCAGGTACAGCGGAATCCACAAATTACTCAGGGAGCGAGGGCAACGGAGCGGCGCGCATCTATCATTACACTGCCAATAGATTTTGATATTCTAATATTTATCTTCAATCGCTACTTCCAGGCAGAGAAGATCGTTTTTACTAGTTGGAAGTTCCACATAGGTAGTATAAATACTATGATCATCTTTCACAGGACGTCGAGGGCTGTCTCTGTTGCAGGAACCCGAGTCTCGGTGCCCTTCGCGTCGCAGCGACATAACTCCCAGATGGCGCCGTTTCCTTACACCTGCGATGTAGATGCTGAGCCTCTACATCAATACAGACCCGGCGATTACCATCCTGTCCATCTTGGTGACCAGCTGAAAAATAGAAGATACAAGATCCTCCACAAAGTCGGATGGGGTGGTTACTCAACCATATGGGCTGCTCGAGACCGAGAGTAAACAGATATCCTGGTCACTCGTCAAACCACTGTAATCGGACCTAATCATTTGAATAGTCTAAAACGATATGCTGCTGTGAAGATCTTGATGGCGAAATCGATGAGCAACCATGAGACTAGTATCCTGCAACTGATTCCATCCTCTCCCCGTTGTACACACCGAGGCCAAGAATACATCGTTCAACTTCTCGACAACTTTTCCCTCGAGGGGCCCAATGGAAAACACCCATGTCTTGTTTTGGAACTCTTGGGAGCTAGTGTTTCTGATTTGATAGATGCCTACCTTTGCGATGAGAGACTCCTAGCTGAAGCAGCTCGGTCTATTTCCTATCAGGTCATGACAGGTGTAGACTTTCTCGCGCAGCTAAATATCGGCCATGGAGGTAAGTTGATCATGTTGACAAAGTAGGCCATTACGGAACAACTAATCCAAGTATCAAGATATTCATACAAGGAATATATAGCTCTGAAACTACACTACCTCGACTCGCTGAACGAGCAGGAGTTCATAAACACGCTCAAGCAGCCCGCGCTTGGACAAGTGAAGCGAACCGACGGGTCTGTTTCAGAGGCACATGTGCCTTCGTATCTCGTCTGGTCTACCCGCTTCGAAGCAAAACATGTCCGTGAAAGCCTGTGAGCTCCAGTCGTTAAAATGATCGGTTTCGGGGAGTCATTCCTTCCTCACCAAGCCCCTTCTACATTACACACCCCGCTTGCAGTTCGAGCCCCGGAAGTTTTATTCAACGATCCGATCGACCGTCGCGCTGATTTATGGAGTCTGGGGTGTTTAGTATGAGACCTACCGAACAAACCTAGCATCGCATTTTTGTTCCCACGTTTGCTGACAAGAGTATGTAGCTCTATGAATTATTCGCCGGCCAACCCCCATTCGACAGTACCCTGGCGAAGACTCCTCATATGATCTCGCGAATGATCCGAGTTTCTACCGACGAGTTGCCGGACCGATGGCAGGCGAAATGGCAGCTAATGCAGGAATCATTACAACAGGTACAGCGTGATGAGGATAATATCGAGCCAATACCTAGTACACTTCGAGAATTACTAGATTACGATTATCATTGGGAGGCGCAGAGGCACAGTGAGCTTACAGCACAAGATTTAGATAGGATCAGTGAGCTCGCGGGACTTCTGTTGAGATGGGAGCCGGCGCGAAGGTCGTCTGTAAAGGATATCGCAAGTGACCCATGGTTCCATGATGGCGGTACACGGATATCCGATTGAGATGCACAAGTGGCTGGCGAACCTTTCAATGGACTTGGAAATGATAAGAATTTGCGTATTGATCATCTGCCCCTTTGTACGGATAGAGTCATGATACGCGGAACGCAGCGCGTAGAACTTTTATGTGCAATAATGCACTGGTGACATCTACATAGTCGGTCTAGCCCAAGTTCTATAACTATTAGGCAAATCATTTGGAGAGAGCTAGATATCACACACCAAATTCTATAGATCCTATTACGTAGGCATGATTTATTAGATTCATCTTTGCATCACAGTAGCCTTGTTGTTGTCCTCATACCACCTAAGTGCATATACAATATAGGTATACTTACATACTTACATACTTACATACTTACATACTTATATACTTACATAGGTACTGTATTTTACAAGTAACAGGTAACGACTGTAGGTACAGCGCATACAGTGCACCTAAGCTTGACCGGCACAGTCAGTCGATATGGTGTCTGAAGTGTCTAAAAATGGCATCAGGATCTATATATAATCCGAAATCCGGGCCACTGAAGACTTTTCATTGGGTGCGAGGCGCTGATGCACGTCAGAGCCCCACCCTGAGCTTGTGACAGGGGGGAGGGGGGGATAATCGTCTTCGCCAGCCCCCTAACTTGTTACCTGTTATTACACTTGCGCTACACACACACCAAAGACGGAGCCAACAAGTTGACAATAGGGAGGCCTTTCTGTTCTACCCGTAAGAAGAGCTGCGTTGGAATTATATGTTCGACATACCGGCCTACAAGTTAGAGGTCATATAGGTAGTGGGCACATATATGTGGAGACTTGAGTTACGAGAAGATAGACAGACTCATGGTGAAAACCACCCGCATGTGCTGTCAGTACGCGACTACCATCTACTAGATTCTACTATTCCTGCAATCTGGAAACAACAGCAAAAGAATGAAGGTAGACAACGAGAGAAGATGATTAGAAAGCAAGACAAAACAGGCTATGTTCGGTTCTACACTTAAACTTGGTCCCGTCTTTATTTTTTCATGTGGACCTTCATATAAGGTGTTGGACTAACTATTCACCAAACATAAAGAGGACTCACAACTTAAACATGAGGAATTTCTCCCGTTGGACTTAGGCAGTCACGGAAGGTTCATCGTAAGCTCTGCTGTTGCTTCTGGCGAGGCCTTGATCTATCCATCATTCATCGTACTAGCTGAACCTTTCTCAGCTAGCCAGCGCCCAGGGAGACAGATGGTAACTCTGATCTAACAACTCATTTCCTACGTGGTAACTCTCCACATATATGCGGTCTTGTGGTTGTTGGGGAATGACTTTCTTGTGCCAGAGTCTAAGGTCATCTCGTGCGTTGTCACCAAATCTACACCGACTCGTCGCCCAATGGTTGTCCAGCGTGTTACGTGTTGCGGACAAACCTTATACAGGTGAGCAGCACGAGACGTAGTTGGGTAATACCTAGAGCCCACTTGTAACCTGCGCGAAAGCCGACGTTGGAGCCTTTGATGATGACTGTAAATACCCACGAAGGGCCCGTATCTATATAGAGGCTCCTCTTCTGTCCTTGCTTGCTACACGTACATAGTAGTACCAGTATTCATCACGGGGCATAAGGTTAGGGAGGTTTATCTACATAGGTTAGGTAAGTTGGGTCACCTTGAATGGATATATACATAGTAGCCAGAGCCAAGGCCAAGGCCAGCGAGCGCACACTGTCTCAACACACTGTACAAGCCAACCTAAAGCCAGCCCAGCCCCGGCCCACCCCGTCGACGCCTATTCCCATCCAAGCCCATCCCATCACATCACCCTCCCACGTTTCTGTCACTTTATTCTCTAGCCTGGTCCCGTCTTGTCCTGTCCCGTCTCAGCTCCTCTGCCACTCTCTGCCACTCTCGTCCTGACCTGACTTAGCAGAGCATAGCATAGCATAGCATAGCATAGCATAGGTAGGTAGCATACATACCTACAGTCAGTCGGTGACCTGCCTGCCTGCTGCCACTACATCACTACCTACCCATCTGCCATCTGCCATCTGCCGACCCTGCTCAGCTCAGCTCAGTCACCACTCACACAGCCTGTCCGCCTCTCTGACTCTCGCTCTGGCTCTGGCCCTGACTCTGTTCTCTGTCTCTGTCTCTGTCTCTCTCTTTCTCCCTCTACCTGCCAGGCTTGTCTGGTCTGATTAATCAAGCCCGCCTGTCTCTCTTTTGCCTATCCCATCATATATCCACATTTGTCCATCCATCCACCCATCCGCCCGTCTATCTATCCATCCATCCATCCCATTTCCCCCCCCAAGCGCCATTCCAGGGTTTGACACGCCCGACCGACAGTCCGGTCGTCTCTGCAAGCCGCCGCCTCCGCCGCCCTCGCTACTCGTTCAACTTCCGCGCGTGTCTCCTGCCGCCATATCATCCCATCCACCTGCAGCTTAATCCGACGACACACCTTCAACTCTACAATCCCTCTGAAGCCCGCCGTCCTTGCTGTTATCGCATAACCACCACTCCTTTGCCGCGGAAGAACACCCGACTTTTCCAATCTTAAGAGAACAACCCGCGTCATCGAAAAATTTACGTGCGACTCGATTCTTGCTCCTGCCGCTACCCGATCCCGCCTTTTCTCGACAGCGCGACAGCGCATCACGAGACTGGCTCCAGCATTCCTCGCCCGCCAGTCATTGTAGGCCACAGCTACCGACTGTCCACTTGGCCACACCCACAGTCACGATTTGAAGTGTCTGTCTGTCTATCGCTGGCTTCGGCACTCCTGGCTCTGGTAATTGGCAATACGACAGCTCCATTGCCCGGCGTCGCGTACACGCTCACAATTATCGTCCATCTTTTATACTGTCAATCTCCTTAAATCCTACTTCGGCCATGTGCTACTGCATTGCTCGGAGCTCGTGACGACAACGAGGACGACTTGTCTCTATCTCTACTTGGTTTCTCTCCTGTATGTCTCCCATAACGCACGGGGTATTGTCGCTCAGAGTGGAACCGCTCCGTCAACTGTACCCTCATCCCTTATCACAAGACTTGCGCGCTTGCTTATCCCGCATCGCGAATCCTTCTCCCATTTAGCGATCCCCGTCGACGCACTAGCTCACATTGCCGCCTTATTCTACTGTGTCGTCGCTTTCGCGGGTAGCAAACTCATCGCTGACCTAGCGCGTTCCATAGTATTAGCTACCCACCGTCGGGATCCGTCGCGATCAGCATTGCGCGATCCTTTCCTTGTTGCCGTGATTCATTGAACTCTCAAAGCTGCGACGCGCACGTAACTGTTGCCACCCAATAGCTCGTGCCGCTTGACGTCTCCGACCCTCGGTCTATTCGCGCATGGTATATCGCAGAAAATATCCCGTCGATATCCACGCTGTGGGTAGTCGACAACATTAGACATGATGGCGAGTATGGCTCCGGGTTTCCACCCAGCAATGCAACAGCACCCTGGTGTTCACCCCGGCCATCCTATGGCCGCTCCGGGTATGGCTCATAACCCCAGCCAACCTGGCTCTCAGCCAGGTATCCCACCCCAGATGGCTGCTCACATGGCTGCTTCCGGACCTGGCGGCCAGGTCAATCCCGTTGCCATGATGGGAGGCATGCCTCAAGGCGCTGGTCCTAATGCTCACGCTCTTCAACATCTCAACCCTCAAATGTTCCAACAGACCTATGGTGAGTATTCGAGTAATGACCATCGTACCCTTGCTTACACAAATATAGGAATGCAAATGCAAGCAAACCCAAATATGAACCCCAGTATGCTTGCCATGCAGCAGCAGCGGTTTCTCCAACAGCAAAGGCAGCAGGCAGCCATGCTCCAGCAAGCGCAACTGCAGATGAACGGCGTCCCCACTCCCGTCGTGGGAAACATGACACAGGCACAATATCAGCAGTTGATGGCGAGGAACCAGGGCATGCAACCGCGGATACCGGGTCATCTGGCACAGGGGCACATTCCACAAGGAGCTGGCCATCCAGGAGCTCAGCAACAACAACATGTAAGTGTGAGCCAAGCTCTATGGCCAACCGTCTGTGAATTGGCATCACACACTTGCCCTGATGACTAACACCTTTTCCTAATAGATCGCACTTCAACAAGCACTGCAACAGCAGCAGCAGCAGCAACAACACCAGCACCAAGCTGCCCAGCAGGCTGCGAACAATGCTATGCATCAAGGAGGCCAGCCAGGCCATCCCGGCCATATGACAGCACATCAACTCCAAACAATGCAGCAGCAACAGCAGCAGCAGCAGCAGCAAAACCAGCTTGCGCAATCTATGGCACAGCAGATGCCCGCCACAGTTGCTCAAAACCAACAACCTCCACCTCAACCACAGCCTCAGCCTCAACCCCAACCCCAACAACCTCAAGGGCAACCGCAACCACCTCAGCAACCACCTCAGCCGCAACAGCAGGGGCAGCCGCAACAGAACCAGCACCAACCTCAGCAAGCGCCTGCTGGTGCGCAAGGTCCCCAAAGAGCAGCTACACCTGCCAGTACTCAACCAAACCAACCCCAGACCCAAGGTCCAACTGCGCCTCAGGTCAACCCCCCTCAACAACCGCAACAACCTCAACCTCAGCCACAGGCACAACCGAACCAGCCCGCAAATCAACCACAACAGCAACCCACCGCACAGCTACTTCAAGCACATCAGCAGCAGCAGCTTGCTTATTCCCAGATGCAACAGGCCCAACAGCATAAGAATGAGAGCATGATGAAGGGCCAATGCCTGCTCAAGTTAATGCAGTTTAGCGAGCACTTGAGTAATTTCCCGGTTAGTCTAACCGATGTATCTGGAAGACGTTCTTCTGCCTCTAACTCGTTTGATAGGGTACCAAGGGTAAAGATGATGTATATTATTGGCAGGTGTTTGTAGATCGGTTTTTCTCACGTAACAGCGTCTTCCGACTATCTCTCCCGGTTACTGGGTCTGATCCCTCGAACGAAGAACACGGGCCTGACAAGCAATATGAAATAGTGCAATCAGCACTCCCCAGATATTTTTACACGCATTTTCAAAGTGGTATCCGCCAAATACAATTAACATTCGAAAAGGGCACATCGGACAGGCAACTCTCCAACGGTTGTCACTTCCTCGAGAACCCTAGGGCCAGCTTGATATACTGGTTTGAAAATTCTCATGTATGTGCATAGAGGCTTGGTCAAGCATCCCACTACTCTTGATCTCAGACGACTGACACCCTCAATTCACTAGGTTATTGCAACTGGGCAGCTCAAAGCACAATTTGATGGTGAACAGAAACTGGATATGTTAGAGTTCAACATAGCTGGTCATGAGGAATATGTATCGAGAAAGATGGTCATCAACGCCGCTAGACCGACACATCTCTGGGCGAAAGAATGGAAAAAGGTTAATGGTCAAGATGCCAATGGTTCACCCGAGATGAACAAAAAGGGCAAGTCAAAACAGATGAAGTCGCCGCCGAACCCGCCTCCCGATTTCGTAATACCCCATTCCGCTGTCAAGGGAAACATGGGCATCACAGAACCTGTCTTCCAATTTCTCGAGGTAAGTAGTCGTGGGCCCCTCACATGCGGAACGTTTAGCTTTCCGTACTAACGTTCTGTTCGCAGATTGTGGAAGTCATGGGCCAGATGAGCGTAAGTCAGCACAGATTACAGGTCTAGCCATAAGACTTTAGCAGAGCAACTTGCCCGCTGGTCTTTTAATTATCAACAGGCGATCAATTGCTAACTCGTAATCCAGCCGCTGTTCGACTTTTACCAGACACATTTAACACTATCTCCCTACCAAGCCCTTGAACAATTTGTGAGCACCAAGTGTACAAACGCTCCACAGCAAGCAATGATGAATGGGCATCCCGCAGGCAATGCCCCACCAAGTCAGCGAACGCCGAGCTTCAGTCAGTTTCCTTTGGGTGCTTCGCCGGCTGCATCACATCTCCAGTTACCCAATTCCCCCCATATGGGAAGTCCTGCTCAGGGTCATATGCAAGCACCTGGCATGCAACTCCAGCAAAGTCAGCAAGGTACAAGCTCCAGCGGGCCCAGTGCCAATACTAGTCCGGCGAGTAACAAACGAAGGAGGCCATCGACAGTAAAAGCAGAGGAGGAAAGCGGAGCTCCCACGCCGGCTAGCCTAGGCGCTCCTCAAGTCAACGGCGTAGGCAAAACCAAGAACCCGCCTACGCCTCGTATGGCGCATAATAAACGCCAGAAAACGAACGCATCATAGATTATTCTACGCCCGTTTCTATTTTCACCTCGTTATCATCAGCATATCGGCGTCAGACTGGATATGATTTTTTTACTTTTGATTTCTCCATACGGTGTTGGCGGGTTCTCTGGCTTGCTTATGTCATACTATCCTATTGACGTCGCTGCCGCGCGTTTTGCATCCGGGATTGATATCATTGATTTTTGAAACGAAAGCCATCTGCGATTTTCAGGTTACCTAGCTCTTAACACCGGGGAAGAAAAGAGCTGAAAGCCTGATGGTGTAGGATATACACTTGAGGGACGAGCCAGAGCGGCCGGTGTACGTGGAATGCGGGCTGCGTTCTTCTCACCAACAGCAGATGCACAAAATAGTTAGCATAATCAGCGGGCTTTCTTCATTCCGCTTAAGGGGGAACCTCTGGGGGGTTTTATTATTATGGGGGGAAACCTACTAATGCTGATGATGAGGAACTCTGTATGAAGCTTTTGGCATTCATCTATGTACGATATACCTTGTTTTTGTCGTTCTTGTTTCTACTGCTGCTTCCCCCGTTCTGCGTCGTCGGTCGTCTTTTGGCCTGGCGTTTTTTGTGTCGTCTTTTTTATTTTATTTTTTATTTTTTTCAAGCTGTCGCAAAATGCAAAAGCGGTGCAAGGAGTAGAGGGAGGGCGGATGGAATTAAAGAGTTCTCTTGCCATGGCCGGTGTGGCTTTATTTGATTAATCAATCAATCAATATAAGAAAAGTTGTTAAGGTAGTTTATTTTAGGTTTGTGCTGATGTTGAGATATGGGTAATTCAGCTACATACTATTTACCTAATTGTTTGTTGAGCTATGGTAGGGAGTGTATAAAATAAAGATATAAGATGAGCGTTGTTGAAGTATTCTTTTAGATTGTTTAAGTGATATGGGATTTCCTTTGTGGAGTTGGATATAGGTGCGTTTAAGTATATAGTATGGAACTTGACCTTTCCCCCTCTCTCTGTCACTCTCTCTATCATGCTAGAGTCAAGGGTTAAATGCTTGCAAAATATCCCTTTTTGTTTTAGAGAAATAAGCATGTGATACATCGTGTCATGTTTTGTCACGAGGCTACAGGACACCTACAAGGCTGTAACAAAGAGGGCCCTTCCGTATATAGCTTCAGCTTTTCTCGTAAAAATGTTAGAGGGACCCTTGTATAACAATAGAAGTTATTAGCCAGCATACCAGATCCTAACACGAGTATATAGACGAACACACTAGAACTACTAGCATCTAGACATGTATGGGGTTTGGCACCGTGGGTGGGTGTTCGCTCCTAATTTCCCATTAAATCTTCTCAGCAGTTGAGAGCGAATGTGTATTATGAAGAGGTAATAAAGTTTCGTTCAGTAATTGTCTTGTTAAAAGGACAAATACATGCAGAATCTATATGGGCATTTGTTGGTCAACAGGGCCATCTAGACTGTATTCTTTGAATTATAATATATTGTCTTGGACAGCTGCCCGTAGTCTAGGGTCTAACTGGCCCAGCAGAACTTGGTGCTATACTAAAATTAAAGAAAAGACTGTAATTATTTCCACATATTCTACTGGGATGCTTTCGATTGTTGAATGAGAACGGATGCATAAACTATCTAAGCTATTTTCATCATGTATGCTATTATTCTTAGTGTCTATCTATATTACGAGCTCTAATACTCTGCTTTTCTTTACGTCCTTAAAGCCATTAAAGCGCTCCAAGCCAGTCCCGACGTACTTCACTTAGTGCTCTCGTCCAATATTTCGACTCTCTTCCACGCGTAGCAACAGTATTGTTATGCGACTTCTTCTGTCTCTTTTCCGAGGCATACTTCTTCTCCTTCCGCCTATGAGGCCCCAGTTGAAAAGCGCCTAAACGTAAAAGAAGACTGGATCTCGATTGGGTTCCGTATGTTTATCGTTTTCATTGGTCGCGGGCGCGGTATGACCAGATACGTGCTGTATTGTCGCTAGAACTCGAAGCAAATAATCCACCAGCTGGGCTGGCGGCAACCGACATCACATATTTTGTGTGTACCTCAAGCGTCAAAACAGTGCAACCGGTGCGTGGATCCCAGAACCGCACGCTCCGATCATCAGAACCAGATATTACCCAATTGGCATGCGGAGTAAATGCAACACTATTAACACCGTCTTCGTGGCCTTTCAGAGTTTTGATACAATTTTCCTCTCCTATTATAGTGCCAGCCGGGAGACGTGAAGGAAATCTCCATATCTTAATCGTCTGATCGGAACTGCCACTCACAAGCTCCTTGCCGCTAGGAGAGAAAGCGATGGAATAGATGTGGTGTTTATGTTGGGCAGCACTTGCTAGACTCTTTAGTTCGCACCCAATATGGGTAATATCGCAAACATATAAAGCATTATCCAGGCCGCCAGCTGCTACATACTTGGAATCTGGCGAGAAAGCCACACAAAGAATGCCGTTGTTAGCAGTAAGGGTTAAGATGTTGGTGCTTGATTCAATATCCCAGAGGCGAACGGTATGGTCTAGACTGCCAGACACTATGGTCCTGCCATCATGGGAAAAATCTACCGAGTAGATAGGTTTCGTGTGCCCTGCAAATGTATTGCGGATAGTCCGTTTAGCGATGTCCCAAACCCAAATGAGATTTCCACCACCCACAAGATATTTATCGTCACGGCTAAAGCAAAGGCTCATAATAAACAGGCTTTCCTGCCTGTAAACAGCGTTGTAATAACTAGGTTGTAGAACGCAGGTCTCTACGCCGCTGGAAACATCGTAGACGTGTGCCGAGTGATGACAACCAGTCGCCAGGTATTTTCCATCATGACTAAATCGGACAAACCAGACCACGCTCTCACAAGGTAAATTGTGAATAAGGTCTACATCACTAACACGGTTGTTTGGGTCAAAAGTTGCGGGCCGGTCTTCAGATTTCCCCTCGACCACTGGAGAGATAGGCTCAAAATTAGATGATATGGACGAAGAATTGGCAATTGACATCGCATCCCTGGTGAACTTTAGTATCTGACTATCAGCGAAATCAGTCCTCGTGACTTACATTCCATTCTTGTAGGCCGTATGTAGCATATAGTCCTTCAACTCTTCTATGTTCGTGTCAGGATTATACCTATCTTCCTCTAAAATTTCATGATGGTCATCCTCCAAATGTCGGAAATACTCATCGTCGCCTTGACCGCTCTGCAAGAGACAAATCGTACAAGTCCACTTCTTTATCACGCTTGTATCTCGTGTCTGGCTGGACGGTTGACGTGAAGAAGACCAACTATCAGTAGATTCTTCTATGAAGTATAAATTTCCAGCGAAGTAGTCTATGTTAGATTGGGTTATTGACGCTAATTCTGCTCCGCTAATACTTGGTCGGATCTGATCCCAATCACAGAGTTGGAGCGGCGGTTGACCCGTGTGTATCTTGTTTCCAGGGTATTTACTCATGTCAAGAAATAGCTCGTTGCCTTGAGAATCAACAACGCTTATTTCCCCGGAATCCCCCTTTTTGGGAGCCACACTTTCTGCCCATTCCGCAATTGAGAAAGAATATCCATCGCTGCGATTGTCCTTGTAGAGCCTAGTTGCATAATCTGGATCAAAAGTGGCAACAGGTTTGCTTGGGCTCACAGGTGGATCTGTCGGCCAAGGGAGAGAGCGGAGAGAAAAGTCATGAACATGCTGCAAGACGTGCTCGACTAGTTCTGGTGAATCTTGAGGTCCCTCGTCGTCGCACAATGGACATTGAGCGATTCCCATCACCTTGGTTTCTGCGTCTGATAGCAAGTCTTCGAGACTGTCAGAGAGAGCATCTGGGTGGCTGGACATGATATGGTTCATCACTCCGGAGAGCGATTGGAATACGGGAGCATCAGCCTCACAACAGGGACACTGCCACTGAGATGGATGGTCATTCATGACATGGTCCTTCCATTCGTTATGTGTCGCAAAGAGATTATACGGCGTGGGGCAATTCTCGAGGATACATGTATACGGACTTATATCGTTCGCTAGGTGCTTTCTTGTCCTGTTAGCATCCCTGGTTAAACATGGAGAGAACAACTTACTTCCACTGACTAGCTTCTGCTTCACTCGCTGGAATGGCTTGACAGCAACAGGGGCATTTGATCAACTTCTGTTCTGAAGAAGCATGTGCCTTAGGATATCTTGCAGTGGCTGTAATAGTTGTGATTCGGGTTGCCGTTGATTCGGGCCGACGGTTATTTCGCAGTCCGCCCCATGCAGAATCAAGGCCCGAAGCCGACGTCACAATTGTCATAGGAGCGTTGTGTCTAGGATTAGACAGCGACGTCTGTATCTCATGCCTTGTCACAGCTCCCTTCTCGGTATGTGTTGATAGCGTCTCGTTGATATTTTGTAGAGTTTCGACTTGAGTTACAGCTCCCTCCTCGGTATATGTCGATGGCATCTCCGTGATATTATGTGGAGATTCGCCTTGATTCGCCTTGACCGAAGCTTCCTTCAGACCGTAAGAGTGCCTCTGAGCTTCCAGAAATCGATGACGTCTTCGGAGGTTGGCCTCTATGAGACGTTCTTGAATTGACGTGAGCTTGAGGTTGACGAAATAATCGACGCTGTGTAGTTTCTCCCCCTCATCTACGGGCCTACCGTCCTCAGTTGGCCTCGAAGTGATAATGCATGCAAGATGTGCTCTGAACTTGTGATACTTCTCCCGATTCTTATCAAAAGAAGTATCCGCCTTTCGAAGTCGAGAGTGGCGCCCACTTCGTCGAATTTGAACTCCAAGGATGGCCAGGCTGTCTATTGTCGAATTGACATTAGACATTATATCCATAATATCGGATTTGTTATCTGCAGCAATGGAAAATTTGCCGAGCAATCCCTGCAGCATGTAAAGAAGGCCTCGGATGAGATAAACATCATCGGACCGGTGCTGGAATCGCTGATCCAATGACGCCTTCGCTTGAGCGGTGGCCCCAACGCTGTCGGCCCAGAGCCTCAGATCAGCTAGTCGTGTTTGCATGTATATTTTGTCTTTGCCTTCCAGCCGCTGGATGACCTCCCTGGCCCCTTCCAAGCACAACCTCGTCATATCAGCAAGCGAACTCTCTGCAAAAGTGCGATCCATTATAATTGCCGTCGTGCTTACTCGAAGAGAGATCGAACATAGAGGAACACCAGGAGCATACAAATACATACTCGTTGGGACTCCCCCTCAAGGGAGGGTTGGGGTCTTTAAATTGCAAAGGACCAGTCGATTTGCAAAAACTTAGGTACTTAATTTATATATAAAACAGGAATTACTTCTATTTTGGTAAGGATTGCACCCATTTTAGAAGTAGCCCTGGACTTTTGCAAATCGACTGGTGATTCGCAACTCAAAGACCCCCAACGCTCCCTTGCGGGGGAGCCCAAGGGGTGGTTGGTGACGGAAGTGGAGTCCCAACAAGTAATAGCTTAGTAGAGGTCGCTTCACGCAGTCAAAATGTCGGAAGTTGATCGTAAGAAGAGGGCTGCGTCTTGAATCCTCGAGCCGTCAGCTCTCAACCCCGCACATTGCTGCAACTCAACCCAAACCAACAGGCTACCTACATAGGCCATAGAAATTCACTACGACGGCAAGGTGTCTACAAATATATATAGCACTACCTCGTAGAGACTTAAAACTTAATGCTACCATCCAGTCATCGCCTTATCAACACTTACAGCTACCTACGCTAAAAGTAGCAATTAATCTCCAATATTTATTTTCTCTAAGCATGGTCATTGAGGTTTATCATCGAATAGGGGTTTCTAATTAATAATATGGGAACGATTGAGGAAATAAATAGCCCTCTTCGTGATGATATGACTTCGGGCTGATAGTGGCGCACACTCAAGCGTAGGTAAGTAGATCTGTTACTTCGCTTAGACATGGCCTCTGGAGTAAATCTTGATGGTCTAGGTAGGTAGACTTACCAAGCCAACCCGGCCCACGAACCTATCTATCAATATGTAGGATAGACCTATCTCACATCATCGCCAGAGACATTTGTCCCTTGTTTGGCCTCCTTGCTTGTGTCATCATGGCGCATACACAAGATAATCTCATCGCATTACAACTCGTTGCTTCAATAGCTCTTGAATCTTCCAAAATTCTCTTCCCGCTCGCCATCGCAAACCAAAGCGGACCAGCCGCGAACGTCGCGATCCAACTCAAGTTCATCGCAGAAAATATATCTGAGCAAGAGCTTTCTAAAATCCCCCCTGAAGCTCAAACTGTTTCTACAAAAGCTCTTCACGATTTATTACAGATAGCCGAGGTACGAAACAGCGCCTGAGCTATTACAGCAACTTAAGTAATTAATCAACCCAGCAGTGGCCACCATCCAAGACTTCCCGAGATCAGCCCCATATAGAGAAGGGCCCTCAGGAGTTACGGCGTACACTCATTCGTCTATTTCAAAACGAGGAGTCTAAACGTCGGGTGCGACAATCGGTTACCAAATTTTGCAAAGAACGACCCAATGTCATCCAACCCTTTGCATCACGCTTTACCTACCTTTCGGATCTACTCAGCAAGAACAGCGTGGAATCACAGTGGAATCTTACCGGCACCGCTACTCATTCGTCGCCTCCCCCTAGAGATGTATATCCTGATCAAGTTAACAAGTTGCTCATCGACGGAGTTCAGAGTCATGCGACTTGCATGCGAGAAGGCCATGTAGGTTCAGGGCTCCAGGCCACGGCAAGCCCCAATTGGCATACTACTAAGCTGTGTCTTGAATCTGGATTCTGTACAGAAGACAAAAGAGTACTTTTCAAGGTCGTAACCGCAACTTCGAGAATGACACACTGGCAGGAATTTGCCTTTAGAGTTCCGATGCAAGTATACTTCTCTTGCGCGCTTAGTCTATAAGTGCCCACACCTGCCTTTCCCTTACGGCTGTTAAAAGCCACTCACAGCTACAGTGGCATAGTCGGCCTTGTTAAATATCCATATCTCCCACCTGCGACACGATCGTTGATTTTCTCAGAGTCTTGTATTACCGCAACAAAGCAATTCGATTAGGCTAATCGGACACAGAATGAACGCCAGATCGAAAGATGCCCCTGAATCGCAGCAGTGTAAAGAGAAATTCGATCCTTCCATGTTTACTTTGATCGCAAATGGGGATGCTTGCAAATACCTCGATAATCCAACTTATGCTAGACTCAGCATTGGCAAGTATAGATTCACCTTATTCCCCTACATTGGTAGTGTTAAAGACACTCCGGTCAAGCTCTGATCCTCCCTTATCGGATGCTGGGAGGCCGTTGCATGTGACAAGGAGCAAAGTTGCCACCGGCTCTAGCACTGTGAACATTCATTTTCAATGCACAGAGAGGTTTTGAGGGTGAGCGCAGCGTAGTGTTTAGATGCCAGAATCACCTAGACTTTCTCGCTTGTCAGATGGTTTAAGAACCACAATTTCTTACTAAGTGTCTGAGATGGGCGGAGCTAAGAAGGTAAAACGGTACCTTGTATGATAGGGCGAACTCCGTGGCTCGAGAGCTTAGTCGAAAAGCAGTGCGAGGCATCATCTAATGGGTTGACTAGAAGCCTCACAGCTGATCAAATTCGCTTTATTCAGGTTACTGACAAGTCTATATAGAGCTAGATGAACACTGCCATCTCTACCAACTGCGAGACCCTGAAAAGCTCCAGTATATCATATCAGGACATGGATTACCACTTCATGAACTGTTGAAGATGGGCGACCTCACAGTCGAGCAGAAGATCAAGTTGTCTTATACTGTCGCTCGGGCATTCTGGCAGTTTTACAACTCGGAATTAATGAATGTCAGATGGACAAGTGAAGACATCTTACTTTTCCGCTTGGATCAGGATATCTCGCCTCCTGGAGACGTTCTTCTGAGAGTTTTCGTTTCCTTCCCCTTCGGCGACGAGGGCAAGAAATCACCCGCAGAGTCCTACGACGAGGGGTATTACACCCACCGGTATCCACGAATACTATGCCTGGGGATAATTCTTCTAGAAATTGGGTTAGGTCAGGCTATAGAAATGGGAAGTTCCTCAGAATCATTCTCGGTGGAACATATAAACCGTGTCCATATAAAAGCAGAATTAAAGCTAAGGGAACTGAAAAAGACAAAGTGGGATGGCTTTCGGTCGAAAGCCTGCTTTGATGAAGCCGTTGAGAATTGTTTGGAATCCGTAAACTTCAGGGAGACAACAAACCGCCAGAGGACACAGCATCAAAGCCATTCCGTTAAAAAGCCGCACCTCTCAGAGAGGAGAGATGCGCTTTACCGAAAGGTTGTTGCACCCTTGTTTAGGCTAGCCATGGTGGGATACCAAGACTCAGACGAACCACGATTGATCAGAATTCCAAATGAGGTACGTAGTAAATCAATATCGGCCAACGATGAGATGTTACAACGTTCCTGGGATGAAATCCACCACACACACTCTTCGTTTCTCTCCGGCCACTCAGGGAACAGGGAAGGGTTCCTCCATCATCTCCAAGTTATAGCCGGACACATAACGCGCTGCCGACGAGTGGCGAAGACCATAAAACCAATCCGAGTCGCCATATTGGACACTGGATGTTACAAAGAGCTAGAGTTTTTCAAAGACGACCGTAGGTCGACCCGGATCAGGGGCTGGAAAGATCTCACTACGGCAGGATCGCACAGTGCAACCGACACTTTTGGCCATGGGACATTCATGGCACGACTGCTCATGCATGTCGCGCCAATAGCGGATATCTACATCATTCGCGTCGCAGAAAACACTGAAGACCTGGAGAGTCATGAGCAGGACATTGTCAAGGTATGTGACATGTTTCTTTCCATCGGAAACGTACTAACTATAGACTAGGCAATCATACATGCTGGACTGGGCCCGGAGTGGAAAGCTGATATCATTTCTATGTCTTTTGGAATGTCCAATGAACGCAAGCAGAAGTGTAGGAATATTTCAGATGCCATCGATAAGGTCACAAAAGAACGCGATGGTTCCGTTTTGTTCTTCGCAGCCGCCGGGAACCAAGGGATAAGAAAAGAGAACTTCCCAGCCAGTCATGGGGACGTGATATCCATATATGCGACGAATTCAGAGGGAGCCTTTTTGGACTCGAACCCATCCCAATCAGATGATGGGCCCAAGCTTCTCGGTACTTATGGCGCTGAAATTCCTCCCTCCATCACGGATGAAATCCGAACGCATTTCCCAGATGCGGATTTGAGCGCGGGGAGCTCAATTGCAACCGCTATCGCAGCTGGGATTGCTGCCATGATGTTGTCATATGTTGCAGCACTGCCTTCATTGCTCAACTACACGCCATTTGAAACCGTGTGCGCTAAACTTCACACGAGGAGTGGGATGCAGCAGATGCTGTACTCTATGTCAGTTCTCAAGGGATATAAACATTACTTCATCAATCCAATAGGGTTTTGGGGAGAGAGAAAAAAGGATTTGGAGTTGCTCACCACTGTCTGCGCTGCAGTCGACAAAATTAATGACTAGAGATCTCCGCATCAATCGAGCCGCTTCTTTGCTTGTCGGAGATAAATGCACATTTCACTCTCTCCAACATCTACGCTCTCATATTCAACTTCTTCCTCTATGTCCTCGTCGATTTCGTCTTGCGTAGCTTCAACAAGAATCAGCGGCTCCTGCGTTTCGCCCCCCGCACCGGTCAAGAACGCGCTCTTATGGCTAAACAATTCCGTCTCCAACCCTGCCCTACGGGTGCGAATGGCATGGAGCCGGTACGCGAATACGATTCCCGGGGCCGTGTCATATGTGTCCGTGACGGTTTTCTGTCTCTCATGCCTCAATTTCCCACCAATCTCAACAGGCAGCGTTCCCGCGGGTGGGCCAGACGCCTCGGCCTCCATGGAAAAGTTGGAGCCCCTTTCTTTCGTCACTGTAAACGAGGATGTGGCAATCCGTAGTCCCGAGACGATGTAGACCGGTCGCTTGCCAAACATGCCCGAGTCAATCTGGGCTCGAACAGCGGGGAGATTGGCAATGGCGGCCACCATTTCGGGTGTCAGTGGGTCTCTGAAACTGATGATATCGTGATTTGCTTCGCTATAATTGATGTTGTTATTCTTGCCAGAATCGCTGCCTGCTGAGGTAGACGCGAGACCCTCGAAGGTAGCCCACATGCTGAGGCCACCAGACCGTGATTGTGAGCGGCTATGAGCGTGATTCGGTTCTACAATAGTTATCTGAGGTGGTAGTTCAATATCGCTTGCAGTGCCGCAGCCAACAGTCGCAAGGACGGTTGTCGGTTTGGACCAGTGGGGAATCACCATACCAAGGCGGAGGGGGCCATCAACGGTGAAGGTAAAGTCCGGCAGTAGGAACCACGTGTTAGGCATCATAGAGTCATTCAAATATCCCTCAGGAAGTTAGAGGGAACTGAACTGAGTTTCGTTGCTTGAATGAGCTGCAGCATATAGCACGCTGTGGGTTACTTGGCCCGCTCACTCATTACGATCAAAGGAAGCTGGAACGGTTGGGCTGATGGCAGATTTTATAGCTCCCAAAATTCTACATATGTGCCCAGGCACTTCGATGGAGGCATGTATGTGAAGAAAGGTGACAGTGTTGTATCCCTGTAGTGAAACCTTCTGTAATTGTCCTCATCTACGACCTTTACCATTAATGACCTGTCTTCCCCTCCGAAGTGATCTATCAAGCAATTCAGAGCTTGCTTTAATAAAGATACATTTATTCGTGATATATAAGCTAAATGAATGTTTTAAAAACTTCAAAATATTATAAAAGTAGCTAGCTGCCTTAGTATATAGTATGGCGGGTGCGAGAATCCAGGAATGAGAACAAGTACCAAGTTTTCCAGCTGGGATATACCGGGATGGTACATTGGGCTCAGCCATGATGAGCCTTGGCTGGTAGGTGTTAGGGGCCTGGGCCCGACTGCAGATATCCCCATGCCTGAGTTGTAGCCATTGACTGGCTCCTGTAAACAGTCTTCTGAGCTGCTCCGTTCTGTACCAAAGCTCACTGGCCCTTTGTTCACCCCGCGCCTATGGATGGCTCATCCAGACAGGTAATATTGATTCTGTAACACTTTTCATTCAAGAAAAAATATCTCCGAGGCCCTCGAAGTCTTGCTCTAACATTTCTACCTTCTTGAATTTTCTCAATTGTTGCTTCTCTTCCCTCTTAGCCTTGTCAATATCGGAAACTCCAATCGGAATAATTAATAGTGTATCGCCGTTTGACAGTACTCGTCGATGATTCATTTTAATGAATCGATTCAGGTGGAATTTGCTCTTGAATGTAACAACGGCAACGTCCGGAGACCTAAGTGCTATGGAAATAGGTCTGAAGCCGAAAAAGTACTGAGCGAGCCTATACCATTCGAAGTCAGCTTTTACTATATTAAGCCCAACTTGAAAAGAATTGAAAGAAACCAGCTTCTCTCTTCATCCCAAAGTGAGAGTCTTACGTGTCAAATCGCGCCGGGATAGAAAGAGGATGGCTCTGAGAATGACTTACCTTAAACCTGAATTAATAACGTTAGGAAGTATCCCATTCTCAGTCTGAATCGTTGCGCCGAAAGCGACATTATCCTCATTTATAAAAACATTTTTTTCGCGAGCGATCTGCCCACATTCTTGATGGAACCGCAGCTTTTCCTGATTTTCTGGGTAGAAAAGGGCCTCTGCCATAGCCAGAGTTGATACAGCATCGTCCCCAGCATTATCAGCAGAACCGTATTGATTAGAGCCTTTGATATCTTTCCAATAGTATCCGAACATCTGGAGCAGGGATATCCGTCCAGGTATGGACTGTCCAGGTGCATCTCCAGTTATAGCTACATCTTTTGCAATGTCGCGGAGGTCTATCCATGATGTAAAGTAAGGAACAACCTCGGAGAAGTTCCTCGATAAATAGTTCCACTCGGCTGACATCTCGAATCCAATAAGTACTAATTTCGTATGATTGTGATGGCAAGACCGTATGAATTCGACAATAGCTGAGCCGAGGTTATCGAGAAAAATCTGGCATTCACGACCAAAACGGGACGGGCGGCGGTTCGGAATACTGCCCCTGTAGCAGAGTAGGTCCTCTCGTATTTGCTTGGTTAGGAAAATGTTGAGGGTCAGGCTTTGAAGCTGGTTTCTGTCGTAGAAGTCTTTAAGGCGTGGTCGTTGTGGCTGGCTAGGGACAGCAATGGGGGTGTGAGGCGTTATGGCCGGGATATATGCGAGGCCAACTTGGTGAAGTATGCGATTTCTTTGGCTATCTACAGGTACGTGCTCTGTATCCAACGCGATAAATGAGTGGTCCTTAAGGATACTTAGTAGGCCTTCCATAGTCGTGATTCTGTTGTTGAAGAGAGCCTGTGAACTTGGATCATATTTGAGCTGTTGATAAGTAACCATTCCTGCCATGGTTGAATGCAAGCAGGAAGAAGATCGGCTGAATGATTTCCTGCCTTCTCAAAGTCGGATGTGAAGTTGTAGTCACGCTAATCGTGCTGTGGTACTTATTTTGAGCCTTTGCTTGTGGCAGGCAATCTTATGATGGGATGATCGAAGTTCGTCTTCCCTCGTGCAAGCAGAGACGTGGCTGTTATCGCTGTAGCGTAACTTTATGCCAGTACACGTGAGGGAACTGGTGCTAATAGTGCACAAGCAACCATATCAATATATTCCATGCAGACTCAATTTTTGCATGGTCTATCGTGGCGTTGTTTCTAAAGGCACATGTGGTGAACTAGCGTGATGATGAAATTTTTTTTTTTTTTTTTAAAAAAAAGTAGGCTGGAAGAGAATCAAGGCAAGCGAACGGTAACGTGGCAATAACCTAATTAGCTGATGTATTATCAGAGGTTATAATCAGATAAATCTGTGTAGATATTCCCTTATTCTGCTTCTCATCCAATTTCTTTTGGTCCCGGTATTGAAGTTAGGAAGTCAGCACTATTTCAACTCCCGGAGAGAGGACTCCAACGCTCGTATTGATGATGGTGCTTCTTCTCCTCCGTACGGCGTGATATAAAAGCCATGGTCCTCGGCCGTTCATGGAATCATATCCCGAAGTTGCTACTCCTCATCCCTGCTAAGTAGCTGGTAACGATGCCATTATCTAACTAGAATACACACATCCCTCGATGGTTACCAGATAGCCCAATACTAGTAGGGATTAGCGGAATGAAAGATCTCTCACCAGATTCAGTTATTCAGCAAACTTCAACTCAGTTCAACATTACCAGTCGAACTACACTTTTATCAGACATATTTCACTCCTAGCTCCGTAATTAATAATCAGACACCACATGAAACCCACCCCATCTCTCACGCACCCTCCCACCATCAATAACTAATTCACCCACCTTCCCCTCCCCCCTCCCCCCTCTCCCCCTCATACTTCTTCACACTCACACTTACTCACACTTATCCACCCACTAATTAACCAATATACGTCTCTCCGAACCCTAAAAACAAGGAAAGAAAAGTAAGACGGAAATAAAATAACAAGTAACGGGAAAAAGATGAAACAGAAAAGAAAGGAAAAGAAATACTCTACCACCCACCACCTCAATGAAACTCTCAAATCCACTCACTGTATGTATACACAAACTCACACCAAAGTTAACTACTCATCTACTTAGGTATACATACCTTCAAAACCACCTGTCCCTTCTTACATAGACGCAATAAGTCCATAATTCACCGTTACCGCGCACCCACCATAGTAGGTCGCATGTAAGAATATATAAGGAGCTTAGTCTCAAACATGCACTATGGTAGCGTATACAAATAGAACACATACCTACAATATTAACCATGACGCCGAGCACAGTAACATTATATAGCACTTTCTTCTAGCACTTCCAAGAGCGAGCCGTAGGGTAGGCTGCATAATTTTGACCACCACGAAGCTTAGTTAGGGACTCGTCCATGTAGAGCAACACGAATAGATAATCCATAAAATAAAAAAAGAACACGCGCTCTGGTGGGCTACAAAGAAGCCACTGTCTGGTCATATTCGTTGAGGATGAAACTGAACTGAAGAACATGGACGAGAAAAGTATGAAGGATGCTCCGCCCTGCATAGACTAATCTAGCAAGCCGGAATTTCCCCAGCGATCAGTCAGAACCTAGGGGACCCCCATCTTCCTTGTCGTAAACCATAGCGGATTATCGCCATCGCGTAGAATCACACAGCCGTCAAGTCGAACCCATCAACGCCTAGAAACCCCCTGAAAGCAACTAAATGACAGCTCTAAGCGGCCTCGCCGAAAGTGTTCTCGCCCGAGTACGTGATGTAGAGAAATCTGAATAGAGAGGGTTAGCGACATATGCATAGCGGACGGAGAGATACATAGATATGGGGGAACACATACCCGTCTTCATCTTTGTGCTCTTCGTAGATGCTGCTCATGAGGGCAGCCGTTGGGGGAAGGACCTCGTCGACGAAGATGAAGATGGCTTTCTCGGGAGACAACTTGATACGCTTTCGGATCACGTAGACGAACTGGCCTACGGTGAGATCTGCGGGGACGAGGTACTTCTTCTTATCAATAGTAGCGATGTCGGACTTTTCGACCTTCTCGCAGATGACCTGAAGAGGAAGGATCCGTGATTAGCAAGAGTACATTCACACAAAGCGGCGCAAAGGACGGCAGAAAAAAGAGTTTGCGATGTTGGAACATAGGAAGGGAAGAAGAGGCGACATACGGGAATACGGTCAGAGTATTTCTGACGAATGCGCTCGGCCTCGGCCTTGCGCTTCTCGAAGGGGTGCTCGTCCTTAAACTTGCTTCGCATTTTGGCGGTGGATGTGAAAGCCGATAGTCCGTCTGCGGCGATGATGGAAGTACTGAGGTCTTGATGTTAGTCGTCGAAATTTAACAATCTTGGAGGCGAAAGAGGTCAAAGATTGAGGTCGGGTGTGGCGGGATTGGATGGAAGGTAAGATGCGAGGCAGAGAGTAGTCGCGCTGGTAGTTGAAAGACAATGACAAGGCGGTGTAACTCGAGGGAGATTGATGATGGATAGTTGGGAGGCTCACGATAGTGACCAAAGGTGAACAAAGAATGAGGAAGGAAGGGGAAAGAATGTTGGTTGTACTTGTCTTACTCCAGCGATGGCAATAGACACGACAGCGGCGAAAATAAGGTTGGAAAAGAGAAAGGGAGGGAAAGCTGGAGACAATGAACAATGTGTGAGGTGAGATAGAGTGTTGCCTGCTGGGGCTACCTGCCTAGACAGATGTGATCCGATTGATGGACTATAGTGGTGTCACGTATTGGATTTGGGTTTGGTTTTGTATTGGTGAGGCGTATTGTGCAATGAATGGGATGGATGGATGGATGGATGGATGGATGGATGTATGTATGTGACTAATGTAGGTGTTCTGTACCTGATGGTATGTAATAGGGCTGTGTGGTTTGTCTACCTGTTCCTCTCTGGTTCTGGCTGGGATGTTTGTCTTTCTTTACCCCTCTCTGTGCCTCGGAAGGCTGTGCTTAGGTGGACTGTATTGTCTAGCTAGACACGTGGGCCTTACACCAAAGATAGCAGCAGCGATGGTGGTAATATGAGGCGAGGACGATATCCAGATCAAGAGCCAGATGGATAAAGATAGATAGATAGATTGATGGAGGTAGGTAGTGTCGGGAGGTGGTCGGGAGGTGAATGGCAGGCAGCAGAAGTGGCATGGCATGGCATGGAGAGAGGGGCGGGCCAGGTGACGATGACGAATGACGGGACGAACGAGTGACAGGACGAATGACAAGTTGGACTCATTGGACTCATTGGCTTACCTATTCTGGGTCGACTATACTCTACTATGACCTGGTCAGTTAAGCAGCGGCGCCACTGGATGACTGGATGGCCGGATGACTGTAGACGAGAGGCGATTCGGGGCGGCGATAGCAGATAGTAGCGGACGCGCGGGCTTCACGGGAGGAAGAAGAAGAAGAAGCTGTATCGTCGTTGGTGATGGTTGGTGGTAGTAAGTAGTAGTAGTAAAATGGTAGAAATGGTGAGCGGCTGGAATGGCGGGACAAGTCGAGGTCGGGTGATATATACCAGGGTAGGTACCTACTTGTTAAATAGGCAGGCTTTAGGTTAGATCAGGCAGATGGAGCATCCGGAAACTGAGTGAGATACCTACATAGGTAGCTAGCTACTTATGTACATAGTACAAGATTGGTAATGGGCGGTAAGTCATGGAACCCATATGGTCCCTTACAGACAACAGAAGCACTATTAATACAGCAAGAGCCAACGCTAAGAGCTGCACTAAAGTAGGTACCTCCCGTGTACATGTGCGCCCTGCTTTACTTACTTAGGGGCCGAGGGGGGGCTTCGAGTGGCTGTACTAGATGGAAGTAGTGGAGAAGAAGGGAAGGGAAGAGAAGGGAGAAGCGGCGAAGCTTGTCCCGGTGACTGTGAGTCTAGTCTAGGTATGACTGACCAGAACTGACTTTTGACTTGCTGGGCTGAAGTAACGTGATCCAGCCAGGTGTCGATCAATGAATTACATCTACCTACTCTCCACTGGAGATAATGTGACCCCCGCCCCCGCCCCTCTAACCTAGTGCGCGCGTATACTTAGTAAGTAAGTAAGTGAGGACTTAGATGTACCGAGTACACCGAGGGAGACGGAGAGAGCCTCAACGGTGAATTGGAGATACCGGTAACCGTTGACGCTGATCGAGGCTTACACTATCTACAGTATGTTAATAGATACCGTCCATAATGAGAGCCACATTAAAAGATATCCATCGTTTCACAGCTCAAGGGACCTAAGAGCTAAAGACATCATCAGCTTAGAAGAGAAAATGCCTGCGATGTAATGGAGTTGGTCATTAGGTAATAATAGCGATAATTGAAGGCTTAATTAATCCCGGGCTTGTTTAAACATCATTCATGCGTACAACAGCTATACGATGCAGTCTCAAGTACACAATAAAGTTACTGTGTATTCCAGACTCACGGCTCAAATCCTGTAGGAAATGGGTACGATACCCATTATGAAAGTGCCATTCTACCACAGATCCCGAAGCGGACGCTCCAACGACGCAGCGTCACAACTGGACACAATATGTTGGCAAGCACGGATATCATGACAAACAACTACATGATATGGATAACAATCTTCACACGAGACACCAACCAGTAGTACTACCAACCAAACCATGCCTAGTCGGCCCAGCAGTCTATACACAGTCACCACCATCCAAAACCCGCACCCGCACCCGTAATCGTACGTACCGCACCGCACCGCAAGCAAGCAAGCAAGAGTCCATCAAATCAACGAATGACATCACCCTCCTTATCAATACCCTCTTCCATCTCCAGGATATCACTCCCAGCCAAGACGCCGCTCCCAAGCGCCGTCGCCTTCCTCCCCGCGAGCCAGACCTCGTGGAACTTCACGCTCTCGTCGCTGCTCGCCACCACCACGCACCCCTCCTCGGCCGTGCGGCTTCGGAGCCGCGCTTTGGTCCGGTACGTGTCCGAGGGCCCGCCGGGGTACGCGACGGCGTAGAGCGCGCGGTGCTCGCCTTCCCAGGGGACCGCCGCGACCTGCCGGCAGTCGGGCCAGCTGAAGACGGCGATGCGGTACGGGTGGTCGGGCTGCGCGTACCCGAACGTCGCCGCGATCTCGCGCCGCGTCTTGCTCCAGATGAGCGACGTCACTTGCGCCGCCACCGAGATGGTCGCCAGCGCCGCGCCCGACGTCGTGTGGTAGAAGTGGATGCACTTGTCGTTGGAACCCCCGCCCGTCGCGATGAGGCCCTCCCGCCAGGGGCAGAAGGCGATCGCCTTGACTGCTGCCGCGTGTCGCCAACGGTGCTTCTCTGACCCGGCGGGAAGATGGCGGACGAGATCTCGCCGCATGGTATAATAGTCTGGTCCTCCGCTGGTGCAGGGAGACACGCCGGCACTGCTGGGACCTGATGAAGAGGGTGACGCGGTTTGAGAGGTTCCGGTCTTGGTAGTGGGAATTGGGTCCTGGGTCGACGCTAACGGCAGCGTACTGGCTTTTTCAGGCTCTGCCTCCAGAATCTTGTCCGCCTGGAAGAAGCAGCACAGGTTGTCGTTCCCTCCCGTGGCAAAGTCAGCGCCCGTAGGTGACCAGGCGAGGCCGCATACCTGTTGTGAGTGGACTTTGATGCGGACCATGAGTGTCATTGCGCCCGGCCAGTTATCCCGAGTCACTTCCTATGCCTCGGGCCACTCGACAGAGTAATAGTAAACGTCGCCCATCTCGTCACCTACAAGGAGATCTTCTGTAGCTACCATACAATTCTGTTTACAAGCGCTGACTGACGGCCTCATGGTTGTAGTGGGGCGCCAGCAGAGACAAGCCACGGGTGCTGGCTGCTGTGCCTCGAAGCGGGGAAGCAAGCTGTCGTATAGAGACATCAGCGAGAGACAGCCATTCGATCGACCGAAGGCGAGTATCGACTTGCCGCCTTTATCAGAGGAGAATGCTATCGAGCTAAGCCAAGAGCCGTCTTTGACGCCGGCATTGAGAAGGGAGACGCCAGATGCTTCGGACCAACCATACAGGAGGTTGCCTAGGCCAACAGCCAGAGTGTTGCAAGACTTGGAATAATCCATGATGGAGCAGTAAAAGTCATCACGCAGACCGGGGGCATCTAAAACTCTAAGCGTGGTGAGCATTCATACATTTATTGCTGATCGATGGTGTCGTTTTTGATGATGTTGAATGGGTGGGGAGAAGCTTACTTGAAAGGAGCATTGGGTAAGACACGCTCTGGCTTCGAGACTTCTGTTCAATGTTAGACTTTTCATATGACATACCCTTTTTCTCTCGAATAGATGGACTGAACTAACTAGGTATCGAATGCGCATCGTTAGCCCATTCCGATCCCGTCCAGACGGTTTGAGCGGGCTGTAAGGACGTCCTGTTCTTCTTCTTCTTGTAGCGCGGAAAAGTTGAAAAGCCGTCAAAGTCGAGGATACGTCTAACACGGTCAATATCGAGCGCTACCGCGAGTCGACCCTCATGCCTCTCCTGCTCTTCCTCGGACTTGGGTCTCAGATTGGAGAATGAGGTGGTATATAGACGAGCATTGGTGCCTGAGCTCACGAGCCGGCCACGACCTCCGTCGACAGCGACGCCATTAGGAGCGGTGCCGCCAACTGACCACACCGCGCCGTGACTGACCTGGCGATCGAGCGGGTCCAGCCCCAAGACTGTGCCATGGCGACGCTCTACACAATCTGAGCGGGAGAGACGACGGGATGCGGTGGGCACTGGCCGCCTCGCTGTGGAGCAGAAGGCGTCAACACCGCCGTTCTCGGTACGTAACAGGCGTTCCGAGGGCGTCAGCTCGTGGGGCTGCTTGTTGGCTCGGAAGCGATCAGCTGCTACTACGTGGAAGGGTACGAAGCGGTCGGGGGAAAGGACAGGCATTTTCTGACAGATAAAACGAAAGAATGAGGCTAATTATCTATTTATTCATAATGCTCATGCTGGTCTGCCTGTCGTGCCTAGGGAGAGGAGAGAAGAAGAAGAAGAAGAAGAAGGGGGAGAAGAGGGATTTCGAGTATGAGATAAGTTGTGAGAACGGTAGCTCGCTTTATGCTATAGCTCCATGTCGAAACATAGAAGTCTCAACCGCGACGCTGTGCCTGCCTCCACTAAACTTGAAAACCATCCATTATTATTACCTTTAATAGATTAAACGATGATAAATATCCCAACGTCGACCATAAGTTTATGATGGGAACTGGTGCTTTCCTCGATGTGCATGGGCGAATACAGCCGCCTCTCCTTACTTATTCCATGATGAACCTTAATCTTGAGACCTACAAGGATGGTTCTCATGATACACGCCTACTTTATCGAGCGTTCCCTGCGGTTTTATTCTCGACGATGAGCGCATTCCTCAAGGATATCTCAAGTGCCATACAATGCTCACACATTTGAGTGGTAACACCTGATGTAGGTACTTCTGGCCGTTTTAGTAGCTATTTCATCCTTGTATGATCTTAGTAACGTTTATCCTCATAACCTAACTGACTGAGTTTTAATGTGTGGTGAACTCATAGGTCCACAGCAAAAAGACGTAATAAGATAAATTAATTCACATTAAAAAATTAACTATAACTAGTTAGTTATTTAAATTAAAAGCTGTGTACCCCATTATACCAGCTGGTGGGATGAATCACTGTAGGAATATAGTGAATACTATGGTGGGGTATTTCTGCCTTCGGGCATTTGGTCAATTTGAAACGATACAGAGAAGATGTAAGGAAAACCTCCTGTTCGAACCCGCATGCAACCACTAACAATATTACAGTAGCATGGCCCCTGCACTAAGGATGACACGCTTAATCAAAGAGATGCAACCAATTTTTTTTCTTTCTTTTTTTTCCCCTTCCCTCTTGTATTTTAGGTCTTGTTACATATGTACCGTATTCTATTAGGAAGCGTCTATCTACCTTTTTGGAGGTAGTACCAGTAGGCGACGGGGCCCCGCGTTCTCCAGATCCCAATGGTCGTATGTACTGGATAACTGTGTTGAAGTTGAGTATGTTATTCATTGTTCATGGACTCTCTTAGTTCATTGGGACTCTGTAGTACCGGTACCGGTAGTATGTTAAGAGGTGAAGACCAACCCAATCGGGAAGCTGTCACACAAAAAGTTGAAACGTCTTGGTTCTTCCCTCAAAACACTCGACTCGCCTACTAATGGATGCGGTATTGTCCAAGTCGAGGAACAACGAGAGCATATCATTGATAGCAAGGACATTATTTGAAGCTGATGTGTTTTGACTTCAAGCTGCGAGCAACGGGCCCACACTAGACCTCATACACCACCTGCAGGCTGCAGCGGTATCCATATCTGGGGAATAGGCACCGGTATATTCAGTGCCACGCTAAGTACCTATCTACATAAGTAGTAGTAGGTACATGCATACATACATGTATGTATATCATCACATTCATATTCGTCCATCTCCCCAGTGCTTACTTACATGCACCCCCCTTCCCTTCCCTTCCCTTTCCTTCCCTGCCTTGAGTTTCTGACAACTTAACGATGATGTGGAAGGACAATTTATTGTACAGCCGATATGGATAATGTATACATACTTTCCCTCTGCTCTTTCGCCCCTGTCCTTTCTATTTCCTCTGCATAGCATACATGCATACATGCACTTGGCTTACAAGCTATCCAGCACGGCATAGCCCGAGTCGCCCGTACCGCCCGTACCGACGAGCAGCGCAAGCAGGACCGAGACAAGATCCAGAAATACCGCCAGCTCGACGACGCCATCCGGGCCCAGGTTGAGCGCCAGTCCTACCACGACCCCGCGCTCTTCCAGCTCACCTCCAAGCTCCTGCGCCTCAACCCCGAGTACTACACGATATGGAACGTCCGTCGCCGCTGTCTAACGTCTTGCTTATTGTCCAGACCCTCGGCTGGATCATCGCCCTCGAAGGCGTCGCCGAGTACCTCTCAGAGCGCCACTACCAATCCCTCTTCCGCCACCTCCTCGTCCTCTTCCTCGGCTGCGATCCCGCCAAGCCCCGCCTCCCCGACAACTGGGAAGAGTGGTACTACGGCTGACGCGGATGTCCTACGGTCCGAACTCGCATTCACCGTCCCGCTGCTCCTCGAATTCCCCAAATGTTACTGGATCTGGAAGTATCGCAAGTGGATTCTCGAACAGGCCATCCTCCGCCTACCGAGGCCGGCCGCGAGCGGCGTCTGGGAAGCCGAGCTGGCTCTCGCGTCCAAGATGCTGGTCAAGGACCGTCGCAACTTCCACGCTTGGGGTTACCGGCGCTACCTCGTCGCGAGACTTGAAAGCGCCGACCTGCTCGGGCGGAGTCTGGTCGAGGATGAGTTCGCCTACACCACCAAGATGATCCAGGCTGACCTGTCCAACTTCTCGGCCTGGCATAATCGCAGTCGCCTGATGTTTCGACTCCTCGACGAACGCAGCGCCGACGACAAGGCTCGCAACACATTTCTCAACACCGAGCTAAACCTCGTTCAAGAAGCCCTCAACGTGGGACCCGAAGATCAGAGCTTATGGTACTATCACCGGAATCTCGTATCTCAGGTTACCCCGTTTGGAGGAACTCCCACCATCGTGCCCAACTTGACAGCGGAGCAGAAGATGTCTCATCTAGAACAGCAGATCGACTTTATTAAAGACTTGCTTGAGGATTTCGAAGACATTAAATGGCCGTATGAGGCCCTTCTCGAATATACATTGGCATTGCGCAAGCTTCAATCTAACGCCCAAAACGATGGGCAAGCGGATGATCCCAATCTCTATTTAAGTAAATTGAGAAAACTAGATGCTCTGCAGGCAGGTCGGTGGAATGATGCAGAGCGGGATATTAAAAAGCAGTTAGAAGAGAGCATATAGCAATGAGCAACGAGAATAATGATAATGACGACGTGGGGTGTTCATTGGATTACATTCTGCTCTTTTATCATTACTATTACTCGTGAATATTGTAGTAACTAGACCTCAATAACCAACTAATTAACCAACCCCCTTATAAATCCCAACACGTTAAGCACTCCCATTACACTTATCCACCACAAGACTAGCATTCTCACCAACTAGCCCATCAAAGTACGCCAACAACGTCTCAACCGGCAGCATATCCATGACCCCCAGACTCGGATTCGAAGACCGAAGGACCTGTCCACCAAACAACACCCGCACATAATATCCCGAACTCGAATCGTCCTTCCTCTCCTTCTCCTCCTCTCGCTCCATCAAATTTCTTCCTCGTCGTTCATAAAGCTCGAAAACAACCTCACTCCCCATCCCCGGCCACACCATGACCTCGATCTGCAGAATACTCAACACGCGACTAACAGACCCATCATGCGCCACATTGTGCCTATACAAAAGCGACTTTTCATCGTCATCATCATCACCAGAGGTAATAACAGCGCGTAAATTCGCCGCTAGCTCCGCGATCCATACCCCGTACGACGCGACGGACGCAGCCAGCGACGTCGGCGCATCGCGGTACATCCGCGAGTACTCCCATTGACCGAGACGGTACACTGTATCCGCGAGCGCTTGGTCGACGCACGAAGAAGTGTTTCCTTCTGTGGAGAGTTTACACGGCAACGGCTTCGCGTGGCACTGGCGCGCGGACAGATTATCAAAGTAATGATCGAAACTAACATGGAAACCAGCATCTGTCGGCGGCACGCCGGAGATATCATCTAGAACAGCGTAGACATCCCTCGCGGCGTCGAGATGGGTCTGCCACGCCGCATCGGACTTGATGGTGTTGAACAGTTTGCTGCCCGTGGCACAGGGGTACTGTGGTTCGAGACTGTCGATGCCCGCGGCAGCGATGCGCAGCGGGATAGGATTCGTCGTGCGCCATGTCCCCCCGATCAGCATGCCCGCGACCTGGCTCGTGATGACGTTGTTCGTGACGCGGTAGGTCACTTTGTCACGCCAGGCGTCAGCGTCGTCCGAGCGAGCGGGCAGGAAACCCAGGAGTTCGTGGTACACGCCGTATAGGTCCTCGCCGTGCACGTACGAGTCCTCGAGGCCGGGGCTCGTGATCTGCGGGAACTGGCATGTGCCGATCCATCCCGAGGGGATAAATGGGTTCACGGGAGAAGTGAAGCCTTTCCAGAAGCCCGGCGCGGGACGCTTGGTGTTTTTGACATCGGTGTTGTTGCTGGGAAAGGGCGCGCCGTAGTAGTAGAGCCCTTGGTCGTCGCAGTCCCAGTGGTACGATTCCACGGGGAATGCATTGCTAGCGTAGGGCGTTCGTTTGTGGTGTCTTTGGATCTGATGGAACCATTAGCTCCTGTTATATTACAGCAATATCTTCCGTGTAATTCGCCTTGTCATATCAAGCAATGCACTCTCGCTCCTTAATTTGTACAAGATAGCCAAGAGACCAACGACGCTCGATGCAGTGAAGACAATAGCATGAAAAGGGCTAGAAAGAGTAGTCAAGACAAAAGAAGAAGCGATCAGTAACTCACCACCTCAACATATCTCAATTCATATTCCTTCGCAGCCCTCTTATACTCGGCCCTACGCACATGGGGCATATTGCACCAATTATACGTCCCATACTGTTCATCGGGGGTATGCGACGAGTTGAAAATAAAACCGTAAACACCGCTCCCGTGCAGTGCCATGGCGAGGTCATTCACGGAGGTATTCCGTGGAGGATGCCAATTTAGATCCACCACCACCGCGCCCGCACCCGCCGTCAACGTCGACAATGTCAACCACGAATTCCAGCCCATGGCGAATTCTTTAAAAACGACAAGATAAGCGATTAACGCCAGCGCGGGGGCAAGTGCAATCGTCAATAATCCGATCGTATGTGTAGCACGCTTGGGCCCGCACTGTTTGGACCGTCGGACCATACTCTTGCTTAAAAGGCAGGAGGGAAATTTGTCATTAGATGAAGATATATATTTTCTCAATGCGTATAACTTTGCACGAACAGCCCATCTATACATGTGTTGATAGGTGTGCACTTAATATGATGTGAGGGTTAGCTAGGTGTACCAGGTACCAAGTGTTGTTCTGGGGAGCCTTCACGTTGGCTGAGGAAGCGAGCCGACTGGTTGGCATTTACATGCATGCAACGTCTGCCGTACTCCCAAAGTGAATAAATCATCTACATTTTCCCTCGGACACTGTCGCATACTCTTAGTGGATATGTAAAAAGTATTTCAATTCATTGTCACACTTTTATCTTTTCCAGTCCTATCATTTAGATGCAGTATTTCGGCATGCCAAGTAGCTAACAACGATTATGTAGCAAGAAGTAGTGGTATCTGAAGACGCAAAGCGCCTAACCATGCACACTTATCTCCATATCCAGTCATTGGCATTTTGACTTCAAGACGGCGTGTCACGGGCGACAATAGCTGTGTCGTCACGCTCTGGCTCGCCTTTGACTCCTCCTTCCATTTCCTCCGCATCCTTGGAGACTATTGCAAACACAGGATCTGTAACAAATTTGCATCCACAGAGATCGGCAACCGCTTGGGGAATTTCGCCCTTGGCAAGACTGGCAACGGACGCATCGTACTTCTCCTGCAAGAGCGTCTTCCATGCATCGCAGATTGAAGAACACTGCTGAATTTCTTCGTACAAAAACTTAGCCTTGCGCGCAATCGACACATTTCTATGGGCCAATACAACGTGGCGGAAAGCTTCAAGCAGGTATTCGAAATCTATAATTCGTCCGTGGAAGTCGTTGTCGAAACCGCGGCAGAACGGACACTGATATGCAGGAGACACAGGGTTTAAGTAGTTTGCAACCCACATACCTCGAACAGGATATGGCATATTCCGCTTCCTTCCATACCAGAATATAGAACTCAGCATACCATTAAAGGATACCTCGGTCCACGTTGGAAGCTTCTGAAGAATACTTTGCATTTCTTCTGATGTGTACATCGGGGGAATTTGTAACAGCGTGTCCACATCGCCAAAGAAGCCGGCTTCCACCTTGCTAACAAATATATGACCATACGATTTGTGGAAAGGAAACGCAAGTCCGGCATCTTCGTCATTTACCAATTTACCAAGCTGATGCTCGCTAATTGGAGTGTATAGCCCCTTCCCCGTGACGGCGCTCGGCACAGGCCCAAAGGAGACACGATGGAGTGCTGCGAATTCAATGGCAACAGAATGTAAGATGTTGGCGGCTGAGTGTTGAGGAAGGCATGCAGGCCAACAACCAGAAGATTTGCACTCTAGCGGAGAACGAGCGGTTTCAGCAAGACCTTTTGAGTCTGCTCGACACTTGTTACGGCTCGCCATACAATCTATTGGTTCGAGACACATGTGCTTCAGGTTAATGCAACTTCGCTGGCCACATAGATTGATGAGATGGCTGTGGTGATGCGCCCAGCCCATGAAGTCTCGCCAGTTTCGAATTGTCATGAGTTCAGCTAGGCGAATATGGCACGCATGTTTTTCGCAGCCAATTGTTGTACTGGCCGACAGATACTTGGTATCAGATGGCTGGTTGCCATGGGAATCCAACGTGGACTTCAAGAGAAAGGCCAGCCTCGAAACAGCAATAGACCAAGGCATGTCCGGCAGCGCTAAACATATCCCAGTCAAGCAGCTATCACCAATACTATCCATTTCTTCACAGAAGAGCTCGAAGGGACGAGCATACTGGTGACGGAGCTTATCGAGGTGGTCGTATTGGCACTCGTTAGTAGCGAGTGCACACGCTCCTGGTGACGAATCGACCTCAGGCGGGTCGGCATTCATTGTTGTTGATTTCTTGGCAATAAGAGACTGTTTAGATGGATGTATTTGGGGTTCACTATAATTAAGAAGGAGGTTAGCAGTGCATCCACGACTATACTATTTCATGGATATACACTACTATCGTTGTAGTTATAACCACTGAGATAAATGCCTAGTACTATATGATTCCAAAATCGCAAATCATTGTAATGGGCCTCGGTGGACGTACCTTCCATCTGTCATTTGGTTTTTGGTGGGCTGGGGAAAGGCAACGGCTTGTCGGACGAGGCCTTTCTGCTGGGGTTGAGCCTTATGGAAGTTGATTTCCATAGGCGCAAGTTTTTTCTGCAAGCTGGTGAGTTCCGCAGTCTTGAACCTCCAGTCAGATAGAAGGATCTCCATGGCCTCTGGCGGATAATTGGGATCGCTTCGGGCATTGGCCAAGAGGGTCTCGGCCATGACCAAATTTGCACAGGCTTTTCTGACTTCCTCTCTCAGCTGATACATCTTCTTGAAGGGCATTCCATCTCGGATGGGGTGGTTAGCTTCCAGTGAGAGGGGTGCAGGGTGAGTGATGCCTAGGAGGGCTGATCCGGCAGGTGGTGGCACGTCTGGAGGAGACGACATGACTCCTGATAATTGGGCTTGGAATGGTAATAGATGAAGTACTTGGAGGTGAGGTTGACCTGTCCAGTGGTGGTGTTATTGCCGGTGATGTAGTGGTATTGGAGTAGAAAGACGAAGAAAAGGTGACTTGGTAGAGGAGGCAGAGATGGGAGTATCGAGATTGTATGGCAGAGGCAGGCACCGAGAGAACTAGCTGTAGAGATACATCACGACATGTATGGCAAAGGCACCTGCCAGCTCAACAAGTGACATGTGCCTGCCCTCACCGTACCCATACCCATTTCACTTAGGGAAGGAGGTGTCGGGTAATAAAACTGTAGGAAGGCGCGTGTTGCTATGATATATCCACGATTGTAAATATACCTAAGGTACATATGTACCTAGACATACTCTAAGCTACATACCTAGTACTATTAGAACCAACACTACAAGTGTATGTTCACCTACCGTGATATTAAGATATATATATGTCCATATCTCTTACATCACAGGAAGATATTTGCGATATCTGGCTCCCTTATATGCTGGCTCAAAGATAAGTAGACCATGTCCTTTATGTAAGTACCTACTGCTGGCTTGTGTGTTTTCAGTAAGCTGAGGCGGTGATGTTGCATATTTCGATTCCATATCGCTGAGGATAGATGCCCTCCCTGCATTAGCGCCTATGGGTACATAGTAAGGGCAAGCTGTTAGAAATTACATGATGAATATCTATCTGCCTAGATATAGCATATATAAGGAAATAGATTAGTAAAAGATATATCGGTATCTTATAATAGTTTGCCCATTACGAAGACGCTGGGTTTTATTAGTATGCTCCTGGTATCGTTGCATGTTTCATACCCCTCGATTGTACTGGATATATATCTTGTTCATTACGAATAAATAGTTAGCTGCTTAGTTGAATTTACCTACCTATCATTCTTCAGTATTCTGTTTGATTGATTGATGAAATCAAACAGAGAACCAATGTATAAGTCTCATCTTCGGCACACATCAGTTTTGATAGTGTGAAAATCCAGGCTCGCCACCGCTATACCTCTCGAGCACGAAACAATAACGACTCTGGTACAAGCTGGGGTGACTATAGTAGCTCAGGAATCTAAAATTGTGGTAGTTCAATTTCGCGCGTCTTCTCCAATCCAAAGAATTCGGTTCAGAGTGCTAGTCTAGCATCCATCAACTGCGTGGCCTTCGAACCTTGTCTAAATCTCCTATATTAAGCAGTGTTGGATACACAAGATAATTGCCTACACCACCGAGGCCCTCCAATCCACTTACTGTTAATGCAGACAACTTTCATAATCGCCTCACGCTGTACGCTTTCCAGAGGTCTCATGGGTCCTCTTGTGACTAGGGCAGCAAAGACGAAAACATGTGTCCGAAAAGGAGGCGAACGGGCCACTGCCTCTATCCGCGAAGTTGTCGCCTATGGACTTTTATGACCACCACTTAGCACTGGCCAAGGGCTCCTAGTGCAAATTCGAATAAAAAGGTGGGAGGGAGGTATATATTTAAACGTACACATAGCTAATAATAGAAACGCTCTAGCTATGCTTCTCGTCCATGAGGCACGGTGTCATGATATTAATATTGCTAGTGTTGTTTATGGTGGCGATGTTGGCTGCAGTTTTCTTAATTCATGGACTACTCTAACTTTTGGCACCGCCGGCAACATTCACGCATGTTGATAAATATTAGTATTCAAGCCGTAACGGCAGCTCCTAATTTAACAGCTATTTGTACTGCACCATCAGTATTATGTGAGATCTACGATATATTTGCTGTAGTCGCACTTGCAGCAATTCTCTCTTACGCCATAAATCTACAAGCCCTTCTTTAACTCCCACTTTCTATTAATGCATTCACCAGTCTGCTGCCCGGTATTTCCATGGTGTGTTGAGTTATGAAAAGACTAAGCTTGACCGAATTGCGCTTGATGGTAGTGATAGATAGATAATATAGGGGGACAAGCAAAGCACACTAAGCTACACTGAACGAATGTATAAGCCGTTCACAACATTAGTTAAGCCAAAGTCCTGTTCTCCTATCACTCCAAAACAAGTCCTAGAATAGTGTACTTTAGTCAACATATCTACACAGTTGCTAAGGTCAAAGGAGCCTCATGGTGAGATGTCCACTATATAACTGTTCTTGGCACCTCGTTTTCACATAAATGCCCAGGGTATATCGGTGGTACAAGTGGGAACAAATATGCCTTATAAGATATCTACGTAACTACTATAAACTTGTCGCGGTCCAGACATGGAAGTGTTGGAGAAATATACAGCGGTATATACTAACAATTGTGGGAATGCAAAATACACCCACTTAGCATGACTAAGAGTAGGCGTACTATAGATCGAATTAAAGAGTCAGCAGCACAATTATGTCAATGACTGTGTTCGCTAAAGCCTAGAAGACGAGTAAAGACAAATTGGCAAGCTTGTTAAGAGGAAAAAAGAAAAAAAAAAAAAGGTAACGATCCAATGCCGAGAAACCTACGTTAATCAAGTAAGGGGCCTGAGAGCGCAAAAAGTCGGTCAGCGATGCAGGTGACGATGGAGAGAGACAGGCGAAACGACGAGAATTGCTGTCCAATGAAATAAATGTATGGGGGACATAGTACCTGGAGAAGGATGGTTGATGGATTCAGCTTATATATACCTATATATATATATATATAAATACATAGTGTAGGTACTTAGTAGTAAGTAGGTAGTATACCTACCTTGGGGGTTCAAGGGTGGTAGTCCGTCGGTCGGCGGAGTTGGATCCAATAGGTAGTTGCGCAGGCTGTTTCATGATGGGTGATGCGGTTTTCCCCCATAGCCACCTACGCTGGTCATTCGTCATGATCCATCGTGGGAAGAGGAGGCGTGTGCGCTGGTGGTGGTGGTGTTGGCATCGCGAGTGGCAGGGGTTCGCATGCCAGCTTGTAGTGGTATACATCTAGATCCCTGCGTCGAGCTGCATGAAAGCAGATCCCCATTCGTCATGGGAAACAGTTCGTTTGGCTATGCTATGCTCCCATTGTGCTGTCCTTGCGATGGCTGCTTGACGACAGAAACCCGGCCACCGCTACCTTGGCGTGTACTACATACATACAGCAAGCAACTCAAGACATGCCGATCGTACTCGGGTGGTAGGTATTGAGATGTGGGCGTACTGCATCTGTTTCCTCTCCTCTTTTCCGCCAGTGTCTCATCTGGACTGAAAGACAAACGCTCGCATCTCGGTGAAGGAGGAGTCGGGCATTCGTTCAACACGTGTAGCATAGCATATCCCAATAGGTAACTAGCTTATTCACCCTGTCCATGCTTGTGTCTTACCTACTTGCAGTCGGGAATGGAGACGAAGTGGACGCAAATTCGGGCGGGCATCTGCATCGTTGTCTTCACATGAGTACAACCAATCTCAAGGGAAGATGACGGATACCAGGGTACCTAGGTACTATGCATGTCTGGGATGATCCATGTCTGTGGCGTTTATCTTACCGTTCCTGAAAATGGACCTTTTTTTTTTTTTTTTTTTCAATATTCTAAGCACAAATATGGCGGTGCCTAGCCTGATCGGTAACAATGATTTGGGTGTCGCACTCTGGAAATAACATGGCATCCTCGTCAAGCTGCAGACATGAAGTTCTCCCCCCCAGGTATTCCTTTCTTATGCCCCGAGGCGTATTGTATCTACAGTCCGTGGAAGGAGGGGTTCTGTGAGACGTCGTGATCTACGCCGTACCTGGGTATTTGACTTTGGCTCTTGCGCTGTCGTCTTACCGAGTATACGCGGCCTGTCCTCGGGCGCATCATGCTGCTCCTCGCTGTCGAGCTAGGTAGGCAGTGCACATGACAACGGCAATGCAGGTCGACTCGTCCGCAGCAACACTACATGTGGACTTTGTATGCAAAGCCCGCAGGGACGTGTGCTTGCGTCTGTCGTCCACCAGCTTTCTCGCAGACTCCTGTCATGAACGACACAATGCGGCCCGAAGTCGCGACATGCGGGCAGCCACCGAACTTGAGTAGTAGATGGAGGCGATTTGCAGTGGCGGTACCTAGTAGTGAGCGGCTTGGGCCGTGGATCTTGGGTTTTGGGCACCGATATGTGGTAGATCGAGACGAGACGCACAAGACACTGCACCAGGTACAGTAAGTAGGTAGGATGTGCCGTTGGGGGTTGCACCCGTATACAAACGAACGACGACAATGATCCAGACTCGGCCCCCCTCCCCAAAGCCCAAGAGAAGCCCGCCGCCACTCTTCTTCTGTGGGCATACCAGCCTACTTATATATATTTCCCATGGTGTCCTGCATAGAGATGAATGCGGTAGCCATGTATGGTACTTTGATGGATACACATCAACGTAGCATGGCAGAAGAAATGTGTTCGGGTAGATGTATAAATTCGGAAGTCCCTGTCGCGAATCCTACCCAAGCAAGCGGGTGTAGTAGGACTTGTATCACGCATGACGAGTCGGAAGGTACCTAAGTCTGAATACAAGGTAGGTAGGTAGACCAGTAGGTACTGGTAGTATAATACCGCACGCAGAGCTTGGGGATATGGGACCTCAGGAACTCAATATGGGCAAACACCTTGTTCACCTACCTACATAGTTGTTCTCGCGGCGCATTTCATGATGGCGCCATTGTTTGATGCTGGGTTGAGTGGCCGGTTGGCCTGACCCCAATTCGGCGAGGACGAGGAGGCGTTCATCCACGAATCCACGACGCACCGAGGGTGACAGCACAAGCTCAGTTCGAGACATAGACCGTGGCCTTATTCGATTGTGTGTTTCACCTGTCGAACCACGATAGCGACATGTTCCCGCAACAGGTCTGGGGATCCAAGACTGGCCCATCGGTTCGCGGTTGGGCACTGGAGTGAGGGATGATACCTACGCTCTTATCTTGTGAGGCCAATCAAGTAGTGTATCTACTAAGTATGTGGTGCTAAAAAGAGGTTTCCCTGAGTAGGTATCTATATCTCCCTCGGCATCTACCTCTCACTTTTTATACCTTTCTGTGTTCATATAGAATATCCAGTACTTGGTATTTGGACTCTTGCATGTCTCCAATTCACCCTTGACAGATATGCAGAAATGTTGAAATGGAAGAAAGGCGATCAGCCAGAGGTCAATTGTGAATTGGCAATTGACAGTTCCAATTATTTACCTGTTGAGGACATTAGCGCTGGCTAGCCGTGCACTACTTATGGGGTTTGGCGTGGAGAAACAGGGCAAAAGGCGACAGGCAGGCAGGAAGGAAAAGGTGCGGGCTTGGAGCCAGGGTCAAGAGCTAAGTGACAGGGGTAAGGGAGCAGTCTGGCCCAGGGAGCAGGGATCAGGGCGATTAGGGATTTGGAGAGACAGGGGTGGGCGACAGGGGTGATGAGGAACTGCAGGAAGCTGTGAAACTTGTGCTGCTGCGTGTTGTTGCTGCTGCTGCTACATTTCCAATACCTCCTTACAGAGGTAGGTAGGTACCTACATATACTTTACATTCAGTAGTACATTTACACTGCCGCTACCACCCTGTCGAGCCTGACTGGCGACATGCATACCCTAGGTACATATGTACTGCTACGGGTGCACTAAAGTATATACCCGGGTACCTATTCACACGCTGCTGTAAGTGGGTGAGTACTATGACCTACCTCCTACGTAACATGGACATACCAACTTACTCAGCTTAGTGCTCGCCTACTCATGCCTATGTAAGTAAGCAAGTACATACTTATATAGGTAGATAGGTACTTAGAAGTAGGTATCGATGCGAATAGACACCTGCTTACATAGTACCTACCTACCTACATACCTACAGTAGTAGATATATGTAGATTGATAGGCCATCTGAAGATAAAATTGAAAGTACCTTGACCAGTACTAGACCTAGGTACATGCTTATGGAGCCTCTAAATGTTCATCCTCTTGCTGAAGGTTAGGCTAGGTAGTGTGCAGGCTAGTGCATTCTACCTGCCACTAAGGTACTCTCATTGGCAGGTACTGAGATATGCATTGATGCGTACTGTCGACGTACCGCGTGCCTACAGACAGCGTGCATGTGTACCAGAGCGTGTCGGTGGCGGTACTGCAGCGGTACCTCCTGCAGGTAGGCCAGCTACTGGGCGCTAATGTTGGGGTAGGTACCGGTATGATGCTTGACGGCTTGCTTGGGTAGGTGACCAGGCCCCGAGCTTTTGACCCGAAGAAAAATAAATCATCGCTAGCTGATCCATACCATGCTTTTCTCATCTCCCGTCCGCATCATCCAAAATACTACGCACACCAATCCAAACCACACCAACCGCTCCGAACCTCCACCTCACTCACTCCCTCCCTCGCTCCCTCCCTCACGCACTCCTACACATATTCAACATTGCCTAGATAGCCTGCCTGCCTAAGTACATACCGAGTAGGCAGTGCCCGCCTCTACACATCACGCCTAACCGATCTACCCATCCCATCGCCGTTGTTGTGAAGAGAGCACCCAAGAATACCTACAGCGGGTCGCGGTCGTGGGCCTCGTCGACCGCATCTTCAAACCTACTGCGTCTCCATCGGTATAGCCTTCGACCTACTGCAATAATAGTTCACTGGCACCTACGTCTGCAGATCTAGCGTCCACATTTATCACAGTCCAAGCGCCGCTGTCCAACTCTCTCAATACTCCTTTACATAGGAACCTTACCGATTATTCTGACGCCCAAACTCTGATCTCGCTGCGCCTGGTCCGTTTGCCTGTCTGTCTCACATCTGTTATGCCTCAACATTCATAACATCCTCCTTTTCTTTGCCGACAGAGATCCACGCTGGGAGAATACCGAGCGCATACGATTCGAAACCCGCTATCTTTCTCTATTCTCGTCGACGCCGTCTCTATTGCCAACGCTGTTGGTACGCTTCTGACGCCCACTTGCAGCCCATTCGATATGCGAAGTTCCTTGCATGGCAGTATTAACGACTTGCTTCGCGCCTCTCCCTTCTCATCCTAAGTCTCTCGGTTGACCTAGCTCGACTCGGCACGGCACGGCGCGACGCCTCACTTTGAGCTCGACTCACTTGTCTACATCTGTCTGCAGAGGTGCAAGCTACGACGTACGTGTTCTTGTAGTGTTATGAAGTATACCGAGAAAGAGATATTGTCTAGGCAAACATACCGTGCTACAAACATACACCATGGACTCGAGACAACCACCACAGATCCCTTTCGCCCGTAATAATGCCGCATCACCGTCCTTTACGCGCTCACCTTTTGCGCCTACTCCCGCCTCCTCGGGCCCGACAGCAACTTCTTCATCATACTCTTCCCGCCCAGCTCCTACTACCACGAGCCCTGCAACGGCTTACGCAGAACACCAACGACGTCCCTCCGACGCGAACCCCTTCTATTCTTCCCACTCTCACTCAAGACCTCCGCCTCCGTACACCGCTGCCGAGCCTACGTCTCATCCTGCCCAAGCTCATGCGCGTCACCCAAGCTCGTCTTCTGTAAACAATCCGCCCATTCATCGTGCCATGCCACCGCCGTCGCCGCCTCAACAGCACCCTCAACATCCGCCCCAGCAGCAGCCTCCACCGCCGCATCAAATGGGGCCCTACGGCGGCCCACCCGGTCCCCGCCCACCCCCCGTGAACCTTGGCCCTCCTAGTGCGTTTCCTTCGGGACGAGAATTGCCTGCTCTTAATTCTATCGCTAGGACAGCCAATCCTGGTGGAAGTATGTCTATCTCATCTATGCTCGGTGGCCCTCCGCCTGCGCCTCGCGAGCCTACACCTAGTCATGCGCCGCCTTATCCACCTCCTGCCACCACGTCCGCTGTTTCAGGTCCCGCATATGCTAGCTCCGTCCATGCATCACCACGGATGCAGAATGCCGCTGATTACAACCCATTCAATCAGCGTCGGCCACAGACACCAGATCAGGGACGACCACCGTTTGATGGACGCGATCACAGAGGGAGTACCGCTGGTTCTCCGCCTCGGGGCGTTTATGGGACGCCTGAATTGTCTAGGTATGGTACGCCTCAGGCCTACCAGCAAAGACCCCCACCTATGCCGACTACTGAAGACAGCAGGAGGGAAAGTGCGGCTCGTGTAAACGCTGCTAGTGTGCCTCCTCGGCCCAGTAGTCAACCACGCTCATACCATGGTATGGCACCGAGACCCGCAGAGATGGGCCGTGGCCCACCACCTTCACATGGGGATGCTATGTATGCGCCGCATGAAGAAGGACGTCCGGGGGTTGTAGAATACAACCCCGAGCGAGGGCCGCCGCGGCCAATGCCCTACGAAGAACAACATCGTCTAGCGGCCGAGCGAGAGCGCGAGTACAGGGAACGTGAATACAGAGAAGCGGAACTAAGGGAGAGGGAGCGGGAGCGGGAACGACGCGATAGAGAACGCATGCTCTATGAGGAGCAACGGCCGCACATGTTGGACAGAGAGCGTATGGAACGAGATCGAGAGAGGGAGCGGGACCGCGAGATAGAATTACAGCGTGCGCAACGGGAACGAACATCATCAGATCCAACGCGCCCTCCTGGGCAACATCTTGGGGAGCATCCCCCCCAACCCTCGTCTCGACAACCACCTCCAGCACATTATGGCCGGCCTGACCCTCGTGACCCACATGCCTGGCAGCGGCCTGGATATGAGCAGCCGCCGAGAGATGTGTACGGTCAGCCTTATCCTGCACACCGCCCAGGCGAGTTCCCATCGACAACTGCGCCCCCATACGGCAACCATCCTGCCTACGCACATCAACCACCGCCCGAACGCTTCCCTCCTCCTCCTCCCACCGGCCAGCCGCCGCATCACGCTAATCCCCAAACTCAGCCTGGGCCTCCTCCAGGTCATCCGTTTGAGTCACCAGATAGACTTCGATTCGCCCCATTGCATGCTCAGCACCAACAGCAACGTGGACCGCCACCAGGAGGTCGCTCAAATGAGGAAGGCCCCCCTCCACCATCAGTTGCGTATAATGGTGGTCCCGGCGCTGCTGCCTTCGAAGCCGGGCGACCTCGGCCTATCGATGATGGTCCCTCCCATACAGGTCCGCAGAGAGGGCTTCTGGGGGTGCAGGAAATCAACCGTAAAGGGCGACTCTCGCCATTGCCACAGGCAGTTCAAGGGGCGCAACCCCTGTTGCAAGGGCCAGCAGGGGAGCCTGGGATTAAAAGTGAGTTTGGCCGCATGTTTTCTGGCATTGGAAGCGGTGTACGCGGCATTGGCGTCTCTAGCCCGGGTCCGTCCGGTGCCCAAGTACCCTTTTCTAATCCTAGCATTCGACGCGACGATGTCGAGCCACCTCACCAAGAACCGACTAGTGAACCTTCCACGAAGCCGCGCAGGAAACGCGGGAAGCCTAAAGAGGAAGATGTGAAAGGCGAGGAGGATAGCAACGGCCGAGCAACCCCCGTTGGGAGAACAAAGCGTGCCAAAACGCATGCCCACCATCACCATCACCAGTATGTCTGATAGTTCCCAAACCCCCCGCCCCTCTTCCAAAGTATGCTCCAATTTACTAATCTAGTGGTCATTAGTCACCACCACCATCACCACCACGTACCTGAGCGGACATCTTCGCCACTGCAAGGGATAGGTGGTTCGCTCAAGAACCTAAAGTCGACGACCCCTATCCCATCGCCTACTAACAGAGATTACGCTTTCACACATCATCATCACCAACCACCAAGGTCAAACCCCAACTCTACCGCCAAACAGCCTCCACCTGGCCCTACTATAATTCCGAAACCGAAGCAGAAGGTTTCATCGCAGGTCGTGCTTGATAGCGTGGCCGATCGCCCTCGCAAACATCTAGGCGATGTTGTGTATAGTGTCTTGTTAAAGCCCGCCAAGTTAGAGTCATCACATACTAGATTCGGTTATTCGACGACGCCCCGGCCTCTGCCTATGGACATGATCAAGGATAACGAGAATTCGTCTCTCACCGTTAAGATACCACGGGTTCACTTGACTCCGTCGGCCCGGGAAGAAATTACCACTCGTCGGGCAGTATGGGGCACGGATGTTTACACAGACGACTCGGATGTGGTGGCGGCATGTATTCATGCTGGGTGGATTCGTGGAGAATGGTCGGACGATATAGATGTAGACTTGCTTGAACTTCAGAAACCAACGTCCAAGTCTAAGCAGCGCATTCTACCAGTGGAACAACATTTAGAAGTACTCAATTCGGTCCCTGCATCAGGACCGATCCATGTACCTGCGGATCGCGACCTGCATGTAACTCTGCTCATTCTCCCGCCACTCGAGAAGTATGCTAGCTCTACACGATACGGCATACAAAGCCGCGAGTTCGGCGGCACCTACAACGGTCGGAAGTCTCTACACGACGGCCTTAGTTTTATGATCCTCAGCGTGCGTTGGGTGGATGGCGCTGCACCGCAGAGTCGGCTCCGTGGCAAAGCGCGTCGAGAACGAATCCGCAAGGCCATGAGCGAGGTCAATCGCAGCCAGGTTGTGGACATGGGAGATATGGAGATAATTGGCAAGGCGAATAAAAACGGACAGCAGAAGCGACGCAGCGCAGATGGTAATAAGGAGAACCGTCCCGTGGACGCGGCTGTGTCGACTCCACTGCCGGCAGCGAACGGCAGAACTCCTGACGATGAGGTCGGTAGTCAGGGCGAAAATGGTATACAACAACAACAACAACAACAGCAACAACAGAATATAAAAGAGCAGGATACCTCGGAGTCTAGTGAGACGACGGAGCGCAAACAAACCGAGACGACTGTTTAGCGACAATCGTTTGCTTCAGATTATTATGATACAAGAAGGGATTTAAATGGTATTTTGCTCCTCTCTGTAAATCACCTTTGCTGAGATGTGATGGAATATGGCTGGGGTTTTATTTTATTACTTCCGTTGGTTTGATAAGCTGCCGTTGCATTTCACCTCGGTTTCCCTTCGGCTGGCTCTGGTTTTATCCATTATTATGATACCTCTTAGTACATATAGTCATGACCTTTTAAGCTTCAAGCCATGTAGCGTGGAATTTTATCCATTTAGCTAACTTATATTATGCATGATTTTTGGTTCATTCGTGATTCGTAATCTCTGGACTCTGTTCTCGTTATAGTGTTTGTGTATTTATGATGACAGTTAGACTGTGGTTTGGGAGGATACATGATTGAATGAGATCAAGTTTGGTAGATGGAGAGTGTATGTCTGTCTATATTTGGCTATATGAAATATTTGGGGTCAGACTGCCTCGGCTTATGCTTAAGTCTTGTGGATATCTAGTTGTTCTAATAACTCCATTTCATACCTATGCAAGCGCGCCTGTGCAGATCCCGCTATACCCGGAATATACATATGTTCACTTTACTCCCATAACTCCCGTTACCCTCGTCTTCCTCGTTCCCTCTCCCCCCCCCCCCCCCCCCCCCCTCTCTCTCTTTGTGTGCGCGTTGACGTGTATGCCTCGCAAAAGTTTGTAAATTCATAAATCAATAGATCATTTCGTAACAAAAACACAAACCACGCATATAAACACATCAGAAATCCGTCACCCGCCCATTATAACTGTAATCCCCTCCCGCGCCCCAGCGCAGCGGCTCGTTCTTGGGCCCGCCGACCTCGCCCGTGCGCGGGTTCACTTCGCCTTCGAATTCCGGGGGCGCGCCCTTGCGGAGAGGGGTGGGGGCTTCTGGGTCTGTGGACGATGCTGATGCGGCGCTGGGGTTTGGGGAAGACGTGGATGTGGTGGATGTCTTTGTGGATGTAGTGGTAGTGGTGGTAGGGGTGGAGAAATCGGGTGATGATGTTGGGTTGAAGCCTTCTTGCGTGTTGGCTGTGCGTTGTAGACGCTCGAATTCGGCTTGTTCTTCCGGGGGGAGACGGAAGGGCGAGGGCATGGAGTCGAAGTTTGAGGCGTAGCGGCGGTGCGATTGGAGAGTTTGTGGTATTGTTCGTGAGACGGTTCGCGTTGATAAGGAGAGGGTTGAGGCGCGGAGATGTGAGAGGGTGCGTGTTAGATTCGCTGTGCAAGCGGCCATTTTGATGATAGGTGTGGTTTCGACTATATTGTAGAGGAAGATATGTAGTGGTCGATAATTTGTGATGTTAGGTTATTTAGAGATTTAATTGATTCTAAGGAAGGGTATGATCTGCTACACTTCGATATGAGGTGTGGTGAATGTCTTGGTGGCGGCTGATTCGGCAAGAGCCGAGGCAAAGACGTCAAAGATCTACACTAACCCGATCCTGTCCCGATCCAGGCGACAGGGTACTCTCTCTGAGCCGCCGCCGCCTCTTTTCCATTTCCATCTCCAACAGAACACAGCATAACGGCATAGTTACATGTTCAATTGAACTCACATGACACATATATACATACCTACCTAATGTCTGATATCATCTGATAGAAATGGCAAGGGAAGAAGTAGCCTAGTCGAGATTATTTCAGGCGTAGTGAATCATCTATCCTTGTTCCCTCCGCAACAAGAATCACAAGAACCACAATGCTAGCTATAACAATCTAACCACGTCATCAAGAAACGAACGCAAAGTTCTACATATACTTATTTACTACCAGAAGAAACGCGCCGTAGCTCCGAGTGGCGTCGGGGGACGGGCGTCATGTGGAGAAGACGGAGGTCGGTTGAGTGTGGGGTTAGTGAACGGTGGGGGTTTTGTGGCAATTTGGCAAAAGTAAAAAAAAAAAAGAAAAAAAAAAAAAAAAGAAAAAAAGAAGCCCCTCCATCATAATATCAGCAGGGGTTCTTTCCATTCCCCCCCTCCATGCAGATATAACCCCACTACTCACATCTCCGATAGTCGCATCTTGACCTTGACCTTGACTCCCACCTACACCTGTCATAATTGACTGACTGACCTTCACATCTCACCAAATTAAAAGGGAGTCACCAATCCTCCAACCTCTCTCAATAACCTTCCTTCGCCGGCGCCGTCATATAAGCTTCATTCCCCTAGTTGTGTCGCTTGCGTGACTCACTGCTTGTCTATAAAGAGTCCTTCTCTCGCGCCTCCAAGTCTTCTAGTTCCTTTTCTCTTCATCGGCTTCTTGCTTAAGACCTCCTCCTCTCATTTCTAAACCACATCACGCCCTCTCCCCCAAAAAGAGAAGATAAAGGCAAAGCGAAAGCCATAGACTTGACTTGGACGACACGCGACCGCCTTTCATTCGCTCACCTCCAGCCCTGACGCTCAATTGATTGCCAATTGACTGCCTAGACACCCATATTATCTCTTCAAATACAATTCAATCACAAAACATCACGCAACATGGATTATCTGAAGGAAACTTTCAAGCGCTGCAAGGCCGAGAGCAGGGTACGATTGATAATCCCCCCAACGTCGTGATCAATATTGACGAGAAATGCATCGTGTAGGCTGCCCTCGTGACCTATGTTACTGCCGGCTTCCCTGAGCCATCACTCATGCCCTCCATCTTGCTCGCCATGCAAAAGGGTGGTGCCGGTACGTAATGCATCCCTCCCGAACCACTACTACCATCAATTGACCCTGTCTGACATGGAGGAAACAGATGTCATTGAATTGGGTATTCCGTTCACAGATCCCATCGCCGATGGTCCCACTATCCAGACCTCCAACACCGTCGCCCTTCAGCATGGCGTCACCATCCAGTCCACCTTACAGATGGTCAAGGACTCGCGTGCACAGGGCCTGAAAGTCCCCGTATTGCTGATGGGCTACTACAACCCCTTACTGAGCTATGGCGAGGAGGCTTTATTGAATGACTGCAAAGCTGCCGATGTCAATGGCTTCATCATCTGCGACTTACCGCCCGAAGAGGCCGTTTCCTTCCGCAGGTTCTGTAGCCGTGGAGGCCTTTCCTACGTCCCTCTGATCGCCCCATCTACGTCAGATGCGCGCATGAAGCTGCTATGCGCCCTTGCCGACTCTTTCATTTACGTCGTTTCACGCCAGGGTGTTACCGGTGCCCTTGGTACCCTCAATGCCAACCTACCCGACTTGCTCCAGCGTGTGAAGAAATACAGTGGCGACAAGCCAGCCGCCGTCGGTTTTGGTGTCTCTACGCGCGAACACTTCCAGTCTGTCGCTGCTATCGCTGACGGTGTTGTCATTGGATCTCAGATTGTCACGACTCTTCAGGACGCCGAAGCCGGCAAAGAAGCTCAAACTGTTGAAGAATATTGTGCGTATGTGTGTGGACGGACCACTGGGGCCGAGACGACACGGGAAGTTGGTGTCATTGAGGCTATCAGCGTCGCGAAGGAACCAAGTGGAGAGAATGTCACTGTGAATGGTACTATTACTGAGGAGGAAGACGCTGCGCTGGTCGCCCAGCTCGGTGCTCTACATGGTAAGATACCAGACCGGTTCGGCGAGTTCGGTGGTCAGTATGTTCCCGAAGCTCTCATGGATTGCTTGAGTGAACTTGAAGAAGGCTTCAACGCCATAAAAGATGACCCTAAGTTCTGGGAGGAATATAAATCGTACTACCCCTGGATGGGACGGCCCGGGCACCTACAATTTGCCGAGCACTTGACCGAACATGCAGGCGGTGCCAGGATCTGGCTGAAGAGAGAGGATCTGAACCACACTGGTTCTCACAAGATCAACAATGCTCTGGGCCAGCTCCTTCTTGCCAGGAGACTGGGCAAGAAAAAGATCATTGCAGAGACAGGGGCGGGTCAGCACGGTGTCGCCACGGCCACTGTTTGCGCCAAGTTTGGCATGGAGTGTACCGTCTTCATGGGTGCCGTGAGTTGCCTCCCCTTCAATACTTCTTCAACTTAAGCGACGCTTATCACTAACAATCTTTGCAGGAAGATGTACGACGACAGGCATTAAACGTGTTCCGCATGCGACTCCTTGGCGCTAAGGTCATTGCCGTCGAGTGTGGCACCAAGACACTCCGAGACGCTGTCAACGAAGCCTTGAGATACTGGGTTGTCCATCTTCAAGATACACATTACATCATCGGCTCGGCTATCGGACCGCACCCTTTCCCAACTATCGTCAGAACATTCCAGTCCGTCATTGGCACTGAGACAAAAGCGCAGATGCTAGAAAAAGCCGGCAAGCTTCCCGATGCCGTTGTGGCCTGTGTTGGAGGTGGCAGTAACGCTGTCGGCATGTTCTACCCATTCGCGAATGATCCTAGCGTGAAACTCCTGGGAGTCGAAGCGGGTGGTGACGGTGTTGATACTGCGCGCCATTCGGCAACTTTGACAGCCGGTTCCAAGGGCGTCTTACATGGTGTTCGAACTTATATCCTCCAGAATGAGCACGGCCAGATTCAGGACACACACTCGGTATCAGCGGGTCTTGATTATCCCGGTGTAGGTCCTGAACTATCATCTTGGAAGGATAGCCAGCGCGCCAAATACATAGCGGCCACAGACGCAGAGGCATTCCAAGGCTTCCGACTGATGAGTCAGCTCGAGGGTATCATCCCGGCTCTAGAGTCGTCGCACGGAATTTGGGGCGCCGTCGAGCTCGCCAAGACAATGAAGAAGGACGAGGACGTTGTCATCTGTCTCAGCGGCCGTGGCGACAAGGATGTACAAAGCGTGGCGGATGAGTTGCCCAAGCTGGGTCCTCAAATTGGATGGGACCTTCGATTTTAGAAAAATGTACATATTGTTTTGATTACGGGACAAAATGATGGGATACAGGAGTTGGCGTAAGGGAGATATGGATCAGATCACAAAACCATCTTGATTGGTGTATAGAAAAAATGAAGGATGCTACTTGGAATTGCATAATGTGCTAGGAGCCAGATTTAGACACTGCAATTTGCATCAGTATACTCATGTTGATACAGTTGTGACTCGTGCCGCTGTGGGAAGGTATATATAATACAATGATGATACATCGTTCATTCCCCAACGATATCAGACAGAAGACAAGCTATGCAATCACATCCTCCTGAGCAATGCATTATCGCCGTACCCTCGAGTCTATTTTCTTTTCCCACCACCCCACTAAGAAACCCGCTCATACAGATTTCTGAGCAGCTTCTCGACTCCCCTGCTCACCATCCTCAGCATAAGGCTCCCCAATAACAAACTCCTCATCCCGCTCCAACATAGCATCCACCTCATCCAGCACAGTCTCGGAACTCAGCCCCTCAGACGCCAACTCCACGGGGAACGAATCCTCCTCGGCAACAACGCCCTCGCTCTCCTTGGGCGGGAGACCCAGCGCCGCGCGCTGCTCCGCAAAACGCGCCTGCACGGCGGGCGTCTGCATGATCTTCCACCGCAGCGCCCAGCCCGCGGGTCCCAACTCCTTTATCCGCTTCGCCTTGGAGCCCAAAAGGTACTCGTCGATACCACCCAGTCTGTCAATGGTGTGGAGAACCGAGGCCGTCATACGCGTCCGGATGAATGCGTTTAGCGAAGGCGACCAGAGCCGCTTCGTGTGCCGGTTCGGAAGCCACGATGTGCGCGATTTGTTCTTGTACTTTGCTGCAACGACGTTGCCGAAGCGGATCTTGGAGCGCCCGTAGAGACCCTCGTTGCGCTGCTTGTACGTCTGAAAGCGCCCGTAGGGGTAGTCTGGGACTTGCTCGGTTGGCACGGTGAGGTGCGAGGGCGTTTGTCGGGAGAGGGGGGATGCTGTGCTTAGACACCGCGATGGGAAGAGATTGGGGAAGAGAGGTTGGCGAAGGCACCGGAGGGGTGCCGTCGTGTGTTGTAACGCCATAATTTCTAACCGACACCCTTCGTCTCCCTCTTCTCTGTTTTTTTAACTCTTTTTCGTTTCCCTTTTGAGAAGACTTTTGAGGGTCCTTCCTACCGACGACGCAATTGTTCGTCAGCTTCACGAGTCCATTGAATTGCGTAGATCCGTAAGTCACGACGTAATTGGCGACGACGTTGCTCGGGTAGTAGGTAGGTCGTGCGGCGGCTTGGACCGAATCGACGTCTGGAATTGACTCCAGAAATTAGATCTGCACGCTTGCCTCTGGAGAGCGGCGTTCTTGGCACCTGTGGTGCAGCTGCGTGCGGGTCACTACGGATGGTCGGCAGTGATTTGTCCGGGCGATGTGACGGTTGGCACTGTGAGGTACGTACCTTGGGCGGGATGTCAGGTGACAGACAGCCCCGACTTCGTGGGAAGCCGGTGGCGGGGATCTGCGGGGACAAGCGCTCCGCTCCGCTCTGATGAAATGGGTCCGTGTGCTCGAGGTAAAGTTCCGACCGGGGTGGGACTGGCGGGGACCTGCTGGCTTTCCCTAATTTATTTATTTATTTATTTACTTACGATGTATCTCGTCCGATGCAGAATTGAACCAGTTTAAACATAAAATGATCTCGCTGTCTCATCACTCTCCAACATTTCTTTGAGACTCGATTCTTCTTGTCTGGCCAATATGCTACCGCCAGTCGATAATTCCGTCTTAACGAACAATCCTCGATTCGAGAAACTATACAACACCATCACCACCTCGATACTCAACCCGGATGGCTCTACCAAGCTCGACCCGTCGGCTAAACAGCGAGATGCTGTACGCGAAGTTAGTATTCTTTTCCCTTTCAACCCGAATCACATAAGATCACAATAAGTCAGATGAAATAAGGAGCGAATAACTAACAGAGACATTTTCCCCAATGGTATCAGGAACTCCAAGCATACCGCCTAAAAGCAGCTAGAGTCCATCTCCTCCGCACCGCCATTTCGACCGCTGCTTCAACCCAAACAACCCCAACAGCAGCAGCAGCGCCCAGTCAAGAACCAGACCAAGGACACCAAAAACAGCAAAGCCGATATCAACAAAAACATCCGAAATCTCGCCAACCATCACAGCTCCAAGCCCAACAACAATCCTTACCTCCAGACCTCCTCCAACTCCTCCTCTTACTCTCCTCGTTCCTCAACAACGCCTCGCATCTCCCCGCACAATCCGTATCCCTCCTCCTCACCAGCCCCCCATTCACGCATCTCCCGACATTCTTCCCACACATCGCAGCGCTAGTATCATCCGTCCTCACATCCGACGCAAAGGCTCTCGCGCGCGTGCTATCACCAAGCACAAACCCGTCATACATCCACCGCGCAATCCCGTCCCTACCACGCATAGCCAGCACCCTCATCTCAGACCTCACATGCACCAAACAATCCCTCTCGCACGCCAGACTCTCGGCAACAGCCTCCCTAGCACAACACCACACATCACACACCGAAGTCCTAAAGCTCCTTCTCCGATCCCTCGAAGCCAAACACGGCCCCATGGCACGAATCTCCGAGCTCCGCGCGCAAAACGCCTCGCAAAACGCACAAGCCTGGGCCATCGCCGCCGAGGCTCTCCTCTGGGAGACGCGACACCGCGTCTACCCTCCTTCGGCACGTTCCGCCCTTCTCCATTACCGGCAGCACTTACTCGACGCGGGCCGCAGACTGGAAGACGGGTCGCGCACGCGCGAGGCGGAATTAGCTGATTACGGCGTGGACGTGGATAAGCTGCGAAAAGACGCTTTAACAGGGGCTGGTGGTAGTGAGTCACAGTCACAAGGAAGAAGAAGAGGGAGGAGGGGGACAACGGTGGTAGATGAGAATAAGGAGCGAACAATGAGGGAGATGGCGCGCGTGTGGCGCGAGATGGAAACGAGATTAAGAGAGATCAATGGGGATTTGAACCGTTTGCGGTGAGCCTAGCTAACAGAGCGGGTTTCAGAGAGAGAGAGAGAGATGGCATAGGTTTAGAGATTCTGATAGTTGTAGATACCCTTTGTGTTCGCGAGAGAGAGAAGAAAAGAAGAAATCCAATCTATGTATGTACGTATATACACCCCTCGGCAGTCATGATAGATAGCACGAAAAGAGGAGCTCATGGTATCAATTCGCTGTCTAATCTATCTACCAGGTGAGTGAGAGATTTTTTTTTTTTTCCTGCTTTCCCTCTCTCCTCTCCCTATTTTATCCATCCATCTTATCTATCCGAGAAATGAAAAGATAGGAAGGTAGGTGAGTAAAAGAAAGCAAAAAAAAAAAAAGAAAACAAAAAAACATCCAAGTGTGCAACAAAAATGAGGATAACAGAATTGTTATCCTTTTCATATTCATCGTTATCCGGGGAATATATGTGACCAATCATAGTGAAAGCCCTGTATGTCTTTTTCCCTTCCTCGTACTAATCCGAAGGAGAAAAAACGCCCCCAACATGATCCCGTCAAAATCGTACAGATGTTTTCATTTACCTCATGTGTTATTTTTGACTTAACCCTTGACCTTGTAGATGGCCTCAGCGAGACGGCCGACGTTGTCGCTCGTGATTCCGGCGACACTGATACGGCCGTCCATGGTGGCGTAGACGCTGTGCTCCTTGGCCAGCTTCTTCATGCTCTCGGCGTCGAGGCCGGTGTAGGCAAACATGCCGATCTGCGAGGTGATGTGGCTCCAGTCGTGGCTGCTGCCGAGCTTCTCGAGGTTGTTCTTGAGCAGGCTGCGCATCGTAATGATGCGATCGGCCATCTCCTTAACCTCGCCCAACCACTGCTGGTACAGCGCCGGGGTGTTGAGGATCTCGGAGGCCACGCGAGCGCCGTGGATGGGAGGGTTCGAGTACATGGGGCGCACGAGAATCTTGACCTGAGAGTCGAGACGCTTCTTCTCCTCAGCAGAAGAGCCGAGAATGGAGAAAGCACCTACACGCTCACCGTAGAGACCCTGTACGCACACTTGTTGTTAGCTAGTCATCTTGTGTGGTGCTAGGACGGAAATGATGAGGACGAACCATGTTCTTGGCGAAACTCTGGGCCAGGCAGACTTCGTGGCCCTGCTCGACGAAGTAGCGCAGAGCAAAGGCATCCTTGTCGGTGTCACCGCTGGCGAAACCCTGGTACGCCATGTCGAAGAAGGAGAAGAGGCCCTGGGCCTTGACGGCCTCGCTGATCTCCTTCCACTGCTCTTGGGAGGGGTCGACACCGGTGGGGTTGTGGGCGCAGGCGTGGAACAGGAAGATGCTGCCCTTGGGGGCGGCCTTGATGTCGGCAATCAAGCCCTCGAAGTCGAGGCCGATGGTGTTCTTGTCATAGTAGCGGTACTGCTGGACCTTGAGACCAGCATCGCTAAAGACAGCCTTGTGGTTGGCCCACGAGGGGTTGGGGATGTAGATGGTCTTGTCGCCCGGGTAGAAGCGCTGGAGGAAGGCGGCGGCAATGCGCAGGGCGCCAGTGCCGGAGATGGACTGGGTGATGGCGAGGCGGTCGAGGGCGGGCGAGTCCTTGCCGTAGGCGAGGATGGCGGCGGCCTTGGTGAACTCGGGCACACCGGTGATGCCAGCGTACTCCTTGTTCAGCTTGGCGTTAACAACCTTCTCCTCAGCGGTCCGGACCGAAGGGAGGACATATGGCTTTCCCTTGTCATCACGGTAGGCACCGACACCTATGCACAACAAGATGATGCTTTAGTCGCGTGTGGCGGAGAGAAAGCGTGGAAGGAATAGGCAGGAACAAGCCAATTGCCAAGCAAAGCAACCAACACAGTCAAATAGACGGGTAGAGTAGAGAGGCATACCTAGGTTGATCTTCTTCTCAAAGCTGTCGGCTTTGAAGGCTTCGGTGATACCTATATAGGAGCTGTGTCAGTTATCGCAAATATAAGAAGAGAACACAGATGAAAAGTAACGATGCACATACCAAGAATGGCCTGAATTGAACAACCAATTAGTCACAGGTTAGCAATTGGTATCCAGGTATGGAGAGCAAGATGCGGTAAGCTCCGAGTGGACAAGCCAAGCTGGAGGAGGGTGTTGTTTTCGGTGGTCAACTCACATCCTATAGAGATCCGGAGCCATGGTTAGCAGCGCACAAACAAACAAAACAACAGGCATCATCATCATCATCATCATCGTCAACAACATGGGCGACAGTGACACATAACATACCGGTGGGCCCTGGGGAACGTTGGCCCAGGTGGAGCCAGCTCTGGCAGCTTGTAAGCCGAAGACGGAGGCGCGTCTAACGGCGGTGGCCTGGCGAGAGGCAATGCGGAGGGCGGCTTGCATGTTGGGAATTATAGATGGGTGGTGATGGTGGGAGGGAAGGAAGCAGGAGAGAGGGAGGGAGGGAGGGAAGAAAAGAGGGAGAAGGAGAGGTTAGATAGAAATGTGCGGACGATAGACGACGACGGGGTTATAGGTTGAAGGGCGCGCGGTGGTGCGGATGGGATGGCCTCATGTGGTAGGCAGTGGTACGCTGTGGTACGCTGAAGGTACAATGATGCAGGTGACGCTGCTACGCTAAGTTGGTGGGTGGGTACTTGCATCGCGAGGTACATGCAAGTATCGCCTCGCTTGCTGTGCCGTGACTGGCTTCACTACTTACTTCTCATTCAATTTCCTAACTACCATTGCAACAACACCACCACCCTGGAGACATATGAAGGAGGCTTCATACTCATCATCATAAGATCTATAGACGTTAGATCTATGTATTCCTGACAGAGAAGGGGAACCAATCTCCTCTTCTACACAGGTCTTTTAACCCCACGATACCAGATTACAGAGGTACCTTAGAGGTACATGCACAACCCACCAGCCAACCCCAGACTGTTTAGAAACATCCCGCACTAGAGGAAGCTTACAGTGGGAGCTTTAATAAACTGCTGCTGCCCTAACAGATCCATCTAGAAAATGTTCTAGTGATCCGGTCCTCCGATCTGTGTTGATCTGTGGTCTGATCTGTGCTATCTTTCATCATATTTCAATCATATCTCCTAGTCTAGTCCCTACATGCATGGGTACATATGTAGGTACTTTGAATGTTGAAGCTACGTGTCTATGGGTTGTTAGGTATGTATCATGCAACATGGATGTTATATATCACCCACAGAACACGCAGAACAATAAGCAGTCGGTGAGGGAATTTTATTGTTGCTGTCGTACTTGGTTGCTTCTTCTTGATTTCAGCTGTTTCGCCAAGTCAAGGTCAACCTGGGCGTCTTGGCATTTGGCGGCCAAACCTACCTTCAACCTCTGGAAGTCCCTCATCATGATAATCATCAGATGAAAGACGGGAACGAAGTACCTAGATATATCAGTATACGACAGCTACGTGAAACCCCTTACACCGACAAATCCAGCATACATATACATATATATATATATGTTATATTTCTATGCATCCTGCATACACCATGCCCATGTATCTATGCATGTAGGATGTAGGATGTAGGATGTAGGTAGGCATGTCGTTAACCCTACTTAGTAAGCAGTAGGTAGGATCGACTCGCAGCCCGCCATCGTGCCGGGCGCCATCTTGCATCTCGACAAGACGGGTGAAGGGAAGTCTAACCTAAAGCGCCGTCCCTAGCGCATCCTTCTCGCTGGCCCCCGGGTCCTGGTCTGCGCGCGCGTCTCGGGGCTTTTCACTTGTCTCGCTTGTTTCATCGCTTGGATATTCAAGTGGATGGGTGTAAATATTAGCTTATCCCGTAGGACATCCATACTTATTGAGGGTCTATACTTTGGCAATAGCTTCATTCAACTGGGAATCTGTCGATCGTAAGGGGAGGAATGCAGTATTATTGCTAGAATTCAACGCTGGCTATTCATACTTTCTTCCTTGAACCAACCCATGAAGTCATCGCTATGGAGTTTTATTTCTATTGTACCATGATAATCCCGAACCCCCGCAATTTCCCTTGCTAACTAACCTACCACTCCACCCTATTTCAATATGTGATATTCCCTCCGGTGGCTCGCTCGTCAAAGTGGTTCTCGTATTCTTTTCTCAGTCAAATAAGTACTGTGACATGAGTACTCTATTATTTTGTATGGACCTCGTGGTGCATGCTTCTATTTACCCTGGGTGGCTTGCGATGAGACACCTTGAACTCAGCATTCACAATGTTGCCAGTCATTATGAAATATTACAAGCATCCCTCAATAACTAGCAAGTTTAATGAAGGAAAGTTAGCCGTAAGGTGTTGAATATGTTCGTGTATCAATCTAAAGCTCTGTGATGATTAGAGAGGGTAGTGTACCAAAACTATTTTACAGGCAATGTCGTACAGACAGCATCCGCTAAAAGCCGTCTGGTGGATTGACACCTACTACAGTAGATAGCTTCTAATAGTTAATATCGTCCGAATCACTGTTGGTCTAGCAATGAACAACGACAAGCGATTGAAGGTCAACACCGAAAAGACGCATGCCATCAAGCTGGTAATATTCAGGCTGTATAAAACTGGTCCAGTGAAAAAAGTAATCAATAGCAGGGAGGATACAGATAATCCACCAAAAAAAAAACTCCCAGGCCATGTATGGTATTCCCTTATACCACTCCCCAGGGTCCCCATCTGCTGATACATATACCCCATTCACTACACGAAATCCTGACAATGGTCACTATAACGCCGTCCCAATCCCATCTCTATCCACATCGTGATAACCCCTGACACCACCGCCCATTATCCCAAGTCTCATGTTCGAGGTACTATCTCCCCGCTCCATGCCCCATCGGGCATCAGTCCTATCCTCCTCCCACATCGCCATCGGCCTCGCCACGTGATCCCTCGACCACCGCCACTCCTCGCCCCCAGTCACAACACTCACGACACCGCCGCGGGACATGCTTTGATACACCGAGTGAGTGGAGCCGCCTCGAGGCGGGGCCGTAATATCCTGCGCCGTCTCTACCTGGAAGAACTCCCGCCGACGCCGTCGCCGCTTGTGTACGGCGATTTTCCGGATGATGATCGTGGCGAGGAGCAGGAAGATGACGGTGGAGATGACGATGGCGAGGATCACGAGTAGTGGAGGCTGCTGCGTCTTCGAGGTGGGGGGCGGAGTGGCTGGGTTTGTTGGATTTGCGGAGGGAATGCTGGGGTTGATGATGGTTATTGACGAGGTCTGTGATGGTGTATCGAATGGGATAGGTTGAGTTCCGCTGGAAAATGCTGTCTGGCTGGGGGACGGGTCGCTCGTTATTTGGGATGCGGACGTGTTTGGTATGGTGACCGAGGCCGTGCTATCGGGTGGTACTATGTTCGTTGTGACACCCAAGCCTAGAGTACCGGGTGGGGATGACGGGGTTGTCTCGCTGGTTAGCTGGGAAGCCGGGATATTTGATACGGGGGCAGAAGTTGCAGTATTAGTTGGGAGTGGCGATGATAGGGTTGCCGTTAGTGTTGACCGTGAACTGGATACAGACGCTTCCGTGAAGAAGGACGATCCAGACGAGCTCGATATGGCCGCGATTGGCAGACCTGGTGAGCTTTCCAGTGACAGGGTAGGTGTAGAGGAATATGAACTGAATGGTTTACTCGTGAAAGGCGTCACGGTGATTAACACCGGTGGAAAAACTGCTGGGTTGATAGGGGTCGTCAGTGAGGGTGGGGATAAGGCTAGAAGTGAGGATATATCGGGGCTCGTAGATGAAGCTGTTGAGGTAATGGGTACTGATGTGGTGCCATTGGCGAATGTTGTCCAAGATAGTGTAGATCCTGCCATTTGGTACTCGATTTCCTCGGGTTCTTCGATTTGATTCATAGCTTTAGGTGTTGGGCCGGCTTGCACTTTGACGGACACGGAGCTCGCCGAACAGAACTAGGTAGATCAACAATCATTGAAGTTGATATTTTCGCCCGTGGTACACGCGCTGCCGCAATGTCAGATAGATGCCATACGGCATCAATAGCACCCTCGGTTGAGAACTCGGATCCTGCGGTAAATACAGCGCAAGTCAATCACTAATAACTGAGGCTAACGTCTGTCTTTGACTATGGAAACCCCAGGAGAATGGTCAACTGTTTTTCGAACTTGGAGGCTGATACGTAATATCAATTCAACGCTTATGCACACATTATTCAGCTGGTAGTATCGGAGTTGTGGTTATCGAGGGGAGAAATTGAGTAGAGGAAAATTAGAGGCTGCTGTTGGAATTGGACGTTAAAAGGGCGGCACAGAAGAAGGTTGCGGATCAAATATGAGATGAGAATCACCTTTAACCACTGGCCTAGAGAATCGCATCGCAAAGAGCTAATTTGAGGCTCATGTTGCCACTTAATCTCTAGCTGAGACACACTTGTGCTTATGGAACTTTCCACTTTAGCTATTTGGACTGCTAGCATTGAGGGGGGCTGATGCTGGGCTATCCGCATTGGCTAGGTAGACGGACTGGAAGTGGTGTGTTGATTGATGATCACGGGGAGATAGTGATTGGGGTTTGTCGATTTGCTCGATTTGAGTAACGGGTTGGTTCAAGTTCATCGGCAATATTCGATGAGGGCTGCCTAGGATAAAGAACGGATAAAGACATTGGAGCGGCAACGCGTCACGGGAAATGATGTAACCCCCCTCACCCCCTTTAGAAGAATCGCGCAATCTGCGTATAGAATATGTTATCGCTTATTGTGTCGCTGGTTTCACGGTCTCGGAAGAGTAAGTGAGAAGTTATAATCTGTAGCAACTATCTAGTAGAGGCCTTCTGTTGGATGTATTATATCGGTCGCTGTCAGATTATATCTACAGCACGTTGGGACAATGGCCCTTATATTGACACTTGAACATTATTGCCAAACAACCGTATTGGTTATTTACTAGGTACTTGACGATATCGTTTTTCAAATTATGACTATGCTTGCACTTGAGTCCGACTTTTGAGATATGTGACATGCAGTCCCTTGCCCCTAGTTCGATTACCAAACACCCATATGTATCGTGATCAATCAGTATCAAGACATTTCAGTATTATATCTATCCCGACGCACTAAACCTGCCAGCTTTGTCCGTTACTTGGTGACGTAACTTTGTAGATACTTATTCTTCTGCGGCCTGTGGCATCATGCAAAGTTGTCATAGATGATACCAGGTTCATAGGTTCCTAGAAAACCTTTCGTTGCTACGGGAAATCTAAAAGGCCAGTAATGAGGTTGCTCAGCCTCCTCCTGCCTGTAGACCAATGCCGCAGCTTTGAGTAATGAGGAACAATGCATAGAATTGCGTGTAGCTGCCAGAGCAACCCGTTAGATTAAATCGTAACGATACAGTCTTGCCAACGATAGACCCATAGCTCACCAGTAGAGCATCTAATTATGGCTCGTAATTCATTAATCATTTAAGTATCCTTAGGCCTATTTAGGTTTCTTTTTATTCTTTCTCTATCCCGGTTCTATTCATCCTTCCCTTCTTCTCTCTTCCTTTTTTTCAGTATTTTCTATGATGTCCCTTTACTCTAGCCTCGTCCAAGAAAGCAAGAAACGGCAGAAATAAACAGAAGAAAAAGCCGAGAGGAAGATTCCAACGGGGAAATGAGAAGGTTTGGATGATAGAGGAAACAGACAATACCAGCTCCCCTATTAAGCAATCGAACCCGCTCAAAGCGAGATGTATCGGTCCGAAATAGACTCAAAGTCCGATCCCTCATTCAGGTTATACATGGTTAGCTCTTGGACTAGTGTTGCGGCATCGATTCGCTCGTGCGACAATTCCTGGACCAGAGCATCAACAAGAGGTGCAATCTCGCCCCTTTCTTCTTTAAGCTCTCTGTTACCCGCACGCACTTTGGCGAGCCAGTCCTCCATCTGACATTGTGCCTGCTTGTGATTCATTTGAGTGGTCGGTCCCGTCGGGTGAATATCTTCGACGATCCAGTACGTCGTTGATTCGGGCATAGGGATTTTACCCAGCACCCACAGCATGACAACACCAAGTGCCCACATATCTGAAGCTGAGCAACGCGATTCCGAATCATCGAGGAATTCCGGTGGTAAGTACCAAGGTGCACCATTCCCAGCTGCGTTTTTCCCCTCTTCAAAGCTCAGGTCGAAGTTAGTCAGTATAGCGCCGCGAACAGGGTGGAAGAGGATGTTAGTCAGGTGAATATCGCCATGGACAATGTTTTTCGAATGAAGGAAGGACAGAGCTGAAGCCATGTCACCTAGGATCCTCCAGGCTCTCACGATGTTACCATTGAACTCCCGAGCCCCTTGGTCTGCTATATGGTATATCAGTGGTTTTGCGTCGATATGCTCGGTATATATGGCGTTGAACCGGGCATCAGAACCGAGATATGGTATGATTGCATACTGGAGTACTATATCAGTTTCACGTCACTTGTTTATGAGGTTGACAATATCATACATGATTACCCAGGGTGGAATGTATAGAGAATTCACGTATCCAAGTTTCAATCGCTTCGACCGTAGACTCTCTATTGCGGCAGTGGGGCTTGATGACCTTGACTGTCACCACCTTGCCCGGCATGTTGGAGTGCTCCGCCTTGTAGACAGTCGAAACTCGCCCGTTATTGACAGGCCCTAGGAGTTTTATGGCATAGTCGTCCTCCCCAGTTCCAACCTGTACGATCTCGCCACGATTGAGACTGATGAGAGGGTTGCTAGGGAATTGATCCCGTGGGATTGTTATCCTCTCGAAGGATAGACCAACCGACTGACGGGCTTTCTTGTTCGAGCTGGTTTTATCGGCAGCGGAGCGCTTGGTATGTGGCACCTGTCTAATATGCAAGGGCGTCCTGCTCAGCAGTTTGAGTTTAAACAAACACTCGTTTTCGTCGGCGGTGAATTCCCACTCTCCCGGTGTAATCACTCCAATTTCGCCGTCCTGGATATCTATAATTTTTGCCGTCCTGTTTAGCTTGCAACTAACCAAATGCGAAGACTGGTTGCGAACTATGATGCGATCACTGTCAGGGTCAAATAACACGACGCATTGAATCTTGTCGCAAGTAACACAAAACCCAGGCTGTTGCTCCCCGGGCCCGGAAGCCCAAAGACGAATTTTCTCGCTCTCCTCCGTCGCATCTCTCGTCTCCACATCCACCCAGTTACCACAGGAGCTTCCTGTTGGGTAGCTGGAGAACGTGCAAAGTTTGTGAGGTAGTATAAGGACCCGGACCGAGAAGGCTTGAGGCGGAACTGTGTCAAGGTTCAACTCTTCCCAGTCGAACGGAGACTCGGGCTGGTCACGCTGGTGAATAGTAGCCACTGGGCCGCCGCTGGGGGCCGGGCTGTTCTTGTCGTGTGGTTGGGAGTTGTTATCATCCTGACCGAGCTGCCATGTACTGGGCTCAATGGGCGTGCCAGGAACGGTGGGAGACATGCTATGCTCGTTGTCAGTTTCGAGGCCATCGTCATCTCTCGATTGGCACGGTGTTCGGGGAGGTGGAGGGGAAGCAGTGTCGGGCATAGACTCTTCATCGTCGTCATACACGAGTGCGAAGGTTGCCATTGTGGCACGACTACTGACTACTAGCAATAGATGGAAATTGATGGGATAGAAAATTGACGGAGACGAGAGAGTTAGGCGAAGATGCCATCTCCTTTTCTTATATGTCCACGACTGTACTCATGTTTGCATGAATCACTCGATTACCCGCCTGGCCGTCCAATGTCAAGGCCTTCTACACTCGTACTAAGAGCGGCCGGCCTATTCCTCATGTTTGTCTTGCCCGTCTCCAAACACTCGCCAAACTAAATCAATAGGCATCCAATAGCCCCTTGCTGCGTGATTACTTGGTGTACCCCGATCTGTTGCTCCCTTGCCTTGAGGCGCCTGTGTATCATGAGCGGTTCTGTAAGCGAGCCCGGCGTCCTTTGGAACAGTGACAGCCCAGCCAGTTGTTTGATATCCCCTTGCTTCAAATAAAGACCCCAGCAAACAACCCGCACCCCCTATTTCTCTCATCGCATATACATACAGATGAGAATGATCATCTAGTAGTATATGGACTTTATCTTGCATTTCCATCTGCCTGCTTGAAACAAACAAATATAAATACTAGAGGTAACCTTAAATGTCAGCCACAACTCACATAACAATTACACGACCAGCGTTGGTAGTTGAATACTTGATAATATTATGTTCGAATTTGCACTCGGGTAAATCCAAGGCAGCTAGAGGAATGCACATAAATTATATGTCAGCCAATAGCAAAGAGAGAAGCATAATGGCCCTAACGAGTCCCAGCTATATCTAAGTCTGACACGCTGCGTGAAATGTAGGCCATCCCTTCTAATACACAGTGGGAATAGTGAAACAAACACAAGGGAATACTACCGTGTAGCTGGTCGTACACCCGAGGTACAATCTAGATTGGTCGGTTGGGTATCTTTTTTCAGAATTTAGTACCACACAGCGCCCACAACATGAGCAACTATCATTTAATACTGGAATCTGTTAAGTTTTCTCAGAAGCTTTCACAAGCGCGTATTCCTCCCAGAAGTTGTTCCATCTGCTCGCCACCTACTCTTTTCATCTCAATACTACTCACATCATAGTCCGCTTGTCACCCGCTTAATCGACACCACCATTATTCGCTCCTTGTAAGAACAAGATGGGACCGAAACCCAAACCGACACCGCAAAACCACCATTCCCTACACGTCCCTAGGGTTGACTGGGATCGACTAACCCCGTCAGAATGGTCTTGGCCTCACTGGAAGTTCAGAGACACTAAGCCAAACGATATTTGGGACTCCCTATATGAGAAATATAACTGCATAAAACTTGGTATTCAGGATCCGTACGCCTGGCATTCCGATGTCAGCGAGATAGCCCACTCATCTAAAACTAAGGAAGAATTTGAAGCTGCACTTCTGAAGCGAAGGGACGAAAGGTTCAACGAGATTCGGACCAACTGGGAGAAAGCACGTCGCCAATTGACGGCCAACCCTCCAATATGGGATTCTCCACCGACTGAAGGTCTCGATCGCCCATGGTGGACCTTCGTCAGGTTCGGGCGTCACTTCACCTTCGACACCATCGTGGGCCATTTCGGCAACTACATGGTCGCCGACACAGACTCCCTCTACGGCAAGAAGGCGAAGCTCGACGCACAGACGACAGAGGAAGTCGTTGAGCCATCTAAATCGTCATCCTCGAGGCAACCTGAACAACCCAGGGAATCTCAGCAGCCGTTGCCGAACTCTAATCATTCTTCCTCTTCTTCTGCCCCTCCTTTCCCCACCGCTCCTGCTGGTCACCAATCCCCCGTCCAGGCTGCCTTCCCCGCTCCAGATAAGAAGAATCGAAAAACGCGAGTAACAAGAGTAGGAAAGGGACCTGCTGCTCGCAGTAAAATCGAGAAACCACCGCCGAGACAACGCGGCAGCAAAAATCAACCTGCCGAAGGAGTACGAAGAAGCGCTCGTTTGCAGGCGCGTGAAAAGCGCCGAGGTGAATGAAATTATCGAAACTCTCTCAGATCAACAATATAAGCCATGGCTCCACAGACAGGAAGTGCTACCAGCCTTGCTGCCATTGCGTTTCATACCTAGCTAGCAAAGGGCTACATAGACGGCCTGAGTCTATATGCCCCGAAGTGTCGCGCCGTGTGCATTTACTCCCTGGGTCTGCATTCACAGTACTTATCGGCGGCGATAGTTACCACTATAATTATGGAAAGGGGGCCACTAGTGAATTGCATTCACATATACTGACGCGGCGTTTCGCGAACAGGGGGTTCTGAGTATAGCAGTGGTATTGAGGAGGAGATATATCTGTCTGTCTGTACATATAACTGTAATAACTACATAGTTGCATACAACCTCGTTCTTACTTTGACCTGTCACCAATTATTGGATAGTCGTTGCGTGTGATGGCGTTCATTATTGCCAGCGCATGTTTGTTTCTATCGTTCAATCATCCATATCATTCCCTTGCTTATTTCATTACTTCCCTCGCCGTCATGAATGTGTACCGCTGGAATATCACGGTGACTGATGGCATGTCAAGACACGCACGGGAAGGTTGTGATACACAATGATACATGCGGTGGTGGTTGTTTGTCTACGGCCCCCCGCACTGGCCGATTCCACCCGGCATTGCTTCGGTCCCATGCATGTCTGGCTAAAAATATGTGACACTACGGTTCCATATTCCAAAAATGGCACGATCATCAAGCGATGGTAGCACAGCACAGCCTTGCTTCCATTGTACGAATGACACCGTTTCCTCAGTAAGGGGCAGACGTGCAATTGCTGTGTTATATAACTATCCCTGTGCAGGTTTATAATTGATTGGAAAACAGTCCCTTAACACGAGCGTGGCCATTAAGCTGACTCCCATGCTGCTTAAAATATTATTAGCAAATGACCTCTTTCACGTCAGGGATGTACGGCCGTAAGACGGGTCCGACTCCTGATAGCGTCTCACAACATAGGGAGAGCGGACGTGTTTGCTCCAATGGGGAGCATGCTTAGGCGCCCGATCTTATCAGCGGGCTTTCGAGCAAGTTCCAAGCTTTCCTTAGTCTACTGTTAGTGCAACCCATCTTCCCACTGCGTAACAATGAATGGCCTGATACGTTATCTCGGGACGTCGAAGACGGAGGGCGTATGCTATCGAGGGGAGGGGGGCAAGCTGCTCTAGTTTCGGTTCTTAATATATCAACCTCTCTTATTCGAATAACCATCACTCATTGACTCCATGACAGTTTATGAAGGACTCAAAATCTCTAAGCAATTCTAGATATCGTCCTCGTTGTAGTGTTTCTTGTGGTAATTACTAGAATACAGTACTGTTCTGACAGGTGTTGTGGTCTCGCACTAACAATCAAACACTGGCAAGGAAATTGTTGTAATCTGGTCTACGTAGTAGGAATTCATTTGAATGGGTGAAGTATTATTGGCCATAGCCTAGAAGGGAAGTGAAAAGTTAGTGGACTCACCACCTAATTATAGTGGTGGTCACGCGCCACTATAGGAGAAGAATGTATATATTGAATTATAATAGAAGCAAGGAGCGATTATTCCCAGCAGAATAAATGAATATGGAGTCCTCCTTAACTCCTGTTGGCTTTATCTCGGGATGCTTTGTCTCAATGGACCTCCATAGCTAGTGTTTTCTGCCCCGGCGCCGAGTTGTAAGTTGTATCATAATCCATTCTCGTCACTCGTCTCATGTATAGTGGGCATTCAAGTTGCCTTTCTGTCTCATTCATTTTGCGGTCCATAACACACGAAAGATCACATATAATGTCAATTTAATAGTCAATAGTCTCCTGATAACCGCGTAGATTACAAAGTGGGAGCTTGATAGCTTCATCGTAGAATCTTTGCGCCACTGGATACCACATAATTATCTGTAATCATGGGCGGTTATTCGAGACAATATGCGTAGTTGGCTATATTACAAAGTGCCATATTCGGGGCTGGCTGGTATAGCGTACGTCTAAGGCTCAGATAAAGGCTCACGCTCCCCTCAATACATACGTTCAACCAATTTCCTCTGCCCGCGTAGCTATGTGCAGGCGTAGAATAAGACCATGTAATACGAGGTGGCTACTGTTTGAAAACAATATCAGGAAGATTTTATAACACGGCAAATCTTAAAGATCTGAGTTATTCCCATCAGTATTTTAATATTCTGGCATATGAAATGCATTTGTTCTTCGATAATGCTAAACACACATTACTGCAATTGCTGCTTTTACTTGCATTTACTAGCAAAGTATGCGCGGCCAAGGTAATTGATGTCTTAGCCCTTAAGTGAGTTTGAATGCCCAATGCGCCGAGAAAAGCCAGTCCCCAGCTGACGTCTCGGGATTGGATAGTGCATTTCGTGATTTTTATGTGCCTTTTGCCTGACGAGGAATCGTAATCTCCCCCGCGGTTCATGATAGCTCGTACCCTCCCCAACTCAGTATCACTTGATAGCCGAACACGCAATCTTTGCTGTGAGACGTACTAATGCAGCGATCACTGCCAACTGGCAAGAGTCTTGGCCTTCTGCAAACCTCACTTGATCTTAGCACAAACCCCTTTCGCTCTCAATTTTCGTGCCACATGTGGAGTCTTCACCTTACCGAATGTTAGTTCTTGAACGGGCTAAATATGGTGGGCTTGGACGCGGGTGCTGATGCCTTGCTATTGTGGACTGGCTCAGAGTTCTAGAAACTCGTGCATGATGGCACTTACATATCGCGGCAATTAGTACAGCTTTACCTAGACTAGATAGAGAAGCGCAGTGAAGCTGGAATATAGTTACACGTTATGATATCTATCTCTCCCGAAGAGTAGGCACTTGTCTTGGCTGACGAGCTTGATGAAGATCGTCAACACGGCTGTATCAGGGGATTGTGATATTGGGATTCCAATCATTGTCAAGGTAGGGCGCTATTGCTCCGCCCTGGTTATGTCTGTCTCCCCCATAAGACAATCCTGAGAACATAACTTAGTCGAACTTTCTAGGACACGATGAATATGCCCATGACTCTCGGATCACCAGCATGATTGGATTCGAAAACGAAAGGCATGCAAAGATACTTGACATGGCATGCCCATTGCCCATCACCTAGGCCGAGCGCCACCATAGTAGGTTGGCGAGTGCCTACACATGAAGTATTAGTTCATTCGAGAAGGGGTCGTCATTCTGGGAAAAGCAAATCTTCCGGTAGGCAACGGGAAAATGCGGACCTGCCAGGAGCCTATAGTTATCTGGAGTTCGGGGCGACAAAGTTAGTATAGCATTCAGGCATGTGTGTCACTCCATGTGAGAATTCTTAACGAGAATATAAGCGGGAAGGCCGTTGCAAGCTACTCTCCAGTAGGGGGCCAAACACAGCCGGTCTACGTCGAGGGTGACACTCTTCAAAATGATACAGTAATGGGAAACTCGGTGAGTTGGTTTTCGAGTACCTAGAAATAATATACTAACCAGGTGTAGAATCCCGGGGGTTCCTCTAGTGGCTTTGCCGCTGGTGTTGCTGCCGGCTTAAGTCCATGGTCGATTGTAACTGAACCCGATGGCTCTCTTGTGACGCCGGCTTCATGGTCATCTTTCTACGCTCTGAAGCCAATGATTGGTAGCGCATCCGGAGATGGTGCTTTCATGCTGACAGAATCCATGGGCAGTCTAGGAGGCTTAGCTAAATGTGTAAACTACTTGATGGTCCTGACTGAGCCTTGGATGTGTACATCAGATGGGCCAAAGCTCGATATCAAAAGCCTTAGAAAGGACTTCTCGGACATCAGAATCGGTTTCCTAGATCCTCACACCTGGTAATTACCAACATTACTCCTGGTAACAGAGTCATATACTCGACGGGCTGTAAGTCAACCCAGAACTAAAGTTGAACTGAGTAATCAGCCGGACCATGAAGATAAACGCCTATTAAGTAGCATTAAATCTCATGGTACATAATAACGCCATGGTAGTCTCGCCAATTGAGTTGACTCCCGCCAGTAAAATATATTATGACGGTCAACCTGCATACACCGTGATACAGAGCAGCGTTGGTAAAAAGTCAGACTAAAGTGATTAAAGCGGGTGAAACTAAAAAAACAAAGATAGCGAATCTTGTCCCAAGCTTGAAGAATATCTGAGAGATCTGAACTATTCTCCAGTACGCACTCTAAGAGATATTATCAAGTTCAACGCTGATCATCCCGATTTCACCTTCTCATATGGTATGTGAGTGAACACCGCATGCCTTCTGAGATATTGTGATAGTACTGATGCCAACCATAACAACCAAAGAGTTGCCTGACCACAGAAAACTCGGGGCAATGCAGAGTGTCGGTGCGGTACCAAAGTTCTTGCATGGTGCTGTGAAATCCATTAAAAAAGCAGCTGAACCAGGACCTGTAACGTTGATCGTGCCTTACAAGAAGACGAACTGGATGCAATCATCGGCCCTTCGGACAGTCCCATATCGACTATATTTAATTATATATAGACAGGTCTAAGCGACAAGCCCGCCAATCTAATTTATTTATGCCCACCGTGGCCCAGCCCAGCTACAAGTCCCAGCGGTAAGTAGTTAAGGTAGACTACGGATGCTCAACAGCGGCTAGCCAAACCACTACCCCGAATACGGAGTCGCGTCCATCATTGCCCTCCAGGACCGGCGCCGATCCCGCGGGTGTATCGAACTAAGTTCCAGCTTAAAGGAAACGAACTAAATGCATAAGGCACGGAAGTCCTAAAAGGAATAAACACATAATCATAACTTAACACGCTTAAGAAGTGAGAAAATAGCTCTAAAGCTAATATATACATAGGATAGTAATAGATAACTTATTAGAATAAAGGATATATTAATAAATAATACGATAAAGGGGGTAAACTAAGTTAGCTCTAATCTTAGGAATCCACTTTATAAATTATTAATATATACCTTAAAGGTAAAATAAAGGCTGCTTAATAATAATATATATACTTTTAAACCTATAATTAATGCATTTACCTATTTTAATAATTAAAAGTTTTATATATTTAAATATAACTTTATTAAACTTTAAAATTAATATAATATATTTCTTATTTAACCTAATTATTTAATTAACTTAGCTATGTTTTTAACCTTTATATATATATATAAAAAATCTTATATTTCTTTATTAATAATAATAGTATCATAGGTAAGTTAAATCTTAAAGGTTAGGTATAATGTTATAAGTCTTTTTAATTTTATAATAGGTATTTAATAAAACTAAAGTTTAAAAA